AAAACTGGGTGGTGGCCTCACAACATTGGATACTGGGACCTCAGGAGCTGAGGTTTTACCCATGACTATGGAGATGTGCTCTGACTGGACAACACTGGGGGTTCTGGGGTTGTGCTGGGGCACAGTGGGGTGATGAGAAGGGTTAGAACCAGGAAGGTAGGGTCTGGAGACAGCCTCAACAAATTAAAGCCACAGCTGCTTTGTGGTTCATTTCTGGACATAGCAACCTTCCCTGGGCATTGAGTAGACCGCCTCTTTTTATGAATGGGTCCCTGAAAACCTTCAAAGGGTCTCTTGCTAGATTTCAGCTGTGCAGCAGTAGCCGGTATTCTCCCAGAGCCCAAGTCTAACTCTTTCAGGGGCAAAGCTTGTCTAGAAGCAAAGTCAAGAAGCACAAGGTTGAGGGTCCAGGGTAGACGCTCAGCTGGAGCCTCCACACCTGCATGCCCACCACAGTCTCTGGCCAGTTTGAAAGACACGCAGGCCTGTCTTGGACTTCTACGTATCCCATCCTTCAGTGTTTTTATTGAGGCTTGAGTCAATTCCTTGTGGTGGCCGCTGACTGCCATGCTGCACATGCTGACTGGCCGCAGGCCGTTGCTGGCCTTCTTCCCTGAACCCGGGCCAGCTTCCAGGCTTCCAGGGGGCTCATATTTAGTCATATCATGAACAGCATCCCCTAGGTACATTCAAGGACCCCAATGTGCAGTCTTTTAAAATAAGATTTATTTTTATCCACGTGGATTTGTGTGTGTGTGTGTGTGTGTGTGTGTGTCACATGTGTATAGCGCCTGCAAAGGCCAGAAGAGAGCATCAGATACCCCAGAACTAAAACTACAGGCAGTGGAGAACCAACCCATGTTAACGTGGGGAACTGAACTTGGGTCCTTTGGGAGAAAGAAACACTATTTGCCCACTGAGCCATCCTTCCAGCCTCACAGCATGCAGGCCTGTGACGGTGCCACTCGGGAAACACTTCCTTTTTGTTCCTCACCCTCTCAGGCTGTGGAAGCAGTTGTACAGTTCAGGGTGGCAGCTTTTGTTTCTGGCACCAACCTCGTCTTATGGGACCTCTCTGCTCTCCGGGCTGCAGCCTCCCGAGCCCAGCAAGCACAAGGGACACTGAGACAGGCAGATGTGTAAGGCGTTTCTGACGGAGAAGCACAGATACTTGGAGGGGGTCAAGTACAGAGAAATTCTTGCTGTTAGGTCGATTGTCCATAAGCACGCAGCTGGGAGCACGGCGAGCCCCAGGGAAAGCCCTGTGGTTCAAGGTCACTTGGACAGCAGGTCAGGCTGCCTGCCCAGTTACATCATTTAGTTCATACCAGGGCCTTCCTTCTATGGCCCCAAACCATGTTGAAGAATGGGAGACACACATGTACTCAAGGCTTTAGAGAGAGTGATGTAGGTACTCCCAGGGCTTCCTACCCATCTGATGGGGGATGTCCTTCTGTATATGTTTCTCTTATTGGTTGATGAATAAAACACTGTTCGGCCAATGAGGCAGGAAGATAGGTGGGACTAGGAGAGAAGGAGAATTCTGGGAAAGGTAGGTAGGAGCCAGAGTCATGATGCTACTGCAGGAGTAACACCATGCCAGGCATTACCGGGTAAGCCACAGCCTCACGGCAATGCATAGATGGATAGAAATGGGTTAATAATTAAGGCAGAGCCAGCCAGTAAGAAGCCCTAGTCATCGGCCAACAGTATTATAGTGAACATAGGCCTCTGAGTGTTCATTTGGGGCAAGGCAGCTGCGGAATGAGGCAGGAAATTCACATAACACCCATCGGAGTGTCTTGGAAGTAGGAATCGGGATTTCTCCCAAACACCTCCTTTCTCTGTGCTCCTTTTAAGGAGTGGGGTTAGAGCCACTTACCAAGTTCTCAAGTGTTGATGGTTTGGGAGCCTGTGTTCTCTCCATTTGTTCCTCTGTTTCCCCCTGAATAGCAGCAGATCAGCTCCTTACAACAAACCTGGGGCCAGGACCTGAGTTTAGGGTCAGGTTGAGGAGCCTGAGGCTTCTCTGCTCAGCAGGGTGGAGCATGCACTTGGCAACTGATGACCAGTGGCATCTGTGGGTGGATGGAGCAGGAGTGATGCCCAGCTGACAGATGGAGGTGCCTGGTCCTGGACTCTAGGCTGGTCCACTGTTGGGGGAACGTCTATGTCCAAACCTTTATAGCCATGCCTTCTTGGACAACCCCACAGGAATATTTTTTTTTCACATGCTCAAGGTTTCTTTCAGAATCAGTTCACAGAGATAGAGTGTCTGGGAAATTTCCGTGTGTCTCTATAGTTCTGATGGGTGGGGGACACATTTTCTTCCCTTGGGAAGGGGTGAGGCACAGGAGAGAACCAGCTGGAATCTGTGCCCCACAGAGGCTCTGTGTGGCTGTTGGGTGTCTTCTCACGTGCACATCTTGCTCTTCACCTTCCATGAATTGTTGAACCCCTTTCCCTTTTTTCCCTAGGTAGAAATATTTTTAATATGTGGTATAGTATTTATTTATTATTGTAGCTTTTGGTTGTATTATACTTAGACTGCTATGTTTATGCAGAATAATAATAATAAAAAGAAACTTCTGCCAGATTCTTTTTGTTTTTGTTTTTGTTTTTTGTTTTTTTTTTTTTACGAGACAGGGTTTCTCTGTATTGTTTTGGAGGCTGTCGGTCCAGTCCGGCCTCGAACTCACAGAGATCCACTTGCCTCTGTCTCCCGAGTGCTGGGATTAAAAGCGTGCACCACCACTGCACGGCTACCAGATTCTTTTATAGTACACTTTGTTGCCGTCTGTCCACCTACTGCATCCTTCGTATTTAGATCTCTGACCTGCCTGTTATTAGCTCTAGCTGAATTCAGACAAGCTTTGTCATGTTTTCAGGAAGTTATCGGCTCAACATCATTGCAGGAAAACCCTGCAGTGCTTTAAATGTCTTTTCAGATGCTTTGAAAATTTAGTATTTTCCAGCACTTCAGAGAAAGTTATTATCTGATTGTATGAATTCCTCTATTACGTTTTCTCCTCCATTTTTATAGGGCTTTCGTAATTAATATAGCCTCCAGCATGGCCCCAGAGCTGCATTAGTCCCAAGTGAACACACAGGAGGCTATATTAGTTATGAAGCTGTTGGCCGTGTGCTTGGTTTCATATTGGCCAGCTCTGAATTAATTATTTAACCCATAACTGCTAATCTGAATATTTCCACGTGGTCTCTTACGGGGGTGGGGGTGGGGTGGGGGGTGGGAGAGTGGGGGGTGGCGGGGTGGGAGGGTGGGTCCTGTTCTCTCACTCCTCCCCGTGTCCTACATCATGACTGACTGTGCCTCTATTTCCCAGAATCCTCCTCGACTCCTAATCCCACCTCTCTTGCTTCCCTATTGGCCAATGGTGCTTTATTTAATCAGCCAATAAGACAAGCGCATATACACAGAAGGACTTCCCCCATCAAATGGGTCTTCTATTCTAGAACCAGAAGACTACTGACTTTTCTATTCCAGTTTTATGCCTAGCCAATCTCTCATGTCTTGTCCAGCTGCCTCCCTGGAATTATCCAGATACACGGTAAAATGATCTCCAAAGTCCCTCCCTTTTTCTCCTTTCCTACCTTAGTGCTTTCTTCACCTGTGACTTACTTTTCTCCCAGTGAGGACACACCAGTGTCCCTGTCCCATGACGGCATACACTAGGGATCCCGCAGTACTTTAAAAGAGAGACTGGGCAGGCCGTGAATCTCACCTGCTTGTCGGTGTCTAACTCTCAATGCTCATGCTGTTCTTGTTTGTTCCGTTAGATGGTAATTCTACAAGCCTTTAAGCTCCGGCTGCCTAGTTCTCAGCTATGGGATGTAGTTCGCCAAGGTCTTAGGCAGGATTTTCCCTGGCCTATTGAGACATCGGCATTTAGAACAGTGGTCCTCCTCAACCTTCCTACTGCTTTGACCCTTTAATACCATTCTTCATGAGGTGGTGAAGACAACCACAAAATTAATTTTTGTTGTGACTTCATAACTGTAATTTTGCTACTTTTATGAACTGGGATGTACATGTCTGATATGCAGGGTGATGGTCTTAGGTGACTCCTGTGAAAGGGGTCACTGAAATCCAAAGGAGTTTCCGACCCACGGGTTGAGAAACATTGCTTTAGAGACTGTCTTTTTACTTTTAGGTAGAAATGCTATGATAGCTCTGCAAGGAAACTTGAGACTTTTTGTCTGTGTCAGGAACAGCAGGGTGGAGTCAGAGAAAGTAGCAACATGAAAACTGACATGTCTCATTCCTTATGCTGATAGTCTGGAAGTAGGTATCTATCTATCTATCTATCTATCTATCTATCTATCTATCTATCTATCTATCCATCCATCCATCCATCTATCTATCATTTTTAAATACAGGGTCTCTTGCAACCCAGGCGTGCCTCAAGCTTACTATATAGCCACTGATGACCTTGAAGGTCTTATCCTTGGAGATGGGCCTTTTGTGGACACCTATGGGGATTAAAGTGTAAATAAGATGAAGAAATCGGTCTCAATCTCTGTTATGATCATATGTAAAGTAGGGGTTGGTGAAAACTCCAAGTTTGACTTCTCACATCCATTTGGTGCCCAACACATTTGTTTTTTTTTTTTGGAAGTTGTTTAAAGATCATATTTTAATTTTATTTAAATGATGCTACTTAGGTTCAAGAGTTGCAATGATAAGTGATTGATTGGGTGGGGGGCAGTTTTTAGGGAGGTTGCTTGGCATATTACAAAACAAGGTTCTTACAGGCTCAGCTAGGCACTGAACAGACGTTTGGCCATGGAAGAGGGAGTATTGAGGAAATGGAGGCTGGTGCTAAGGTCAGAAGGGGTCCTGTAGCCTTGGAGGACTCAGGAAGTAGGACAGAGGGCAGCCCCCCCCCCTGCTAAACTGGGGAAGGACTAATTGTTAAGATGACCTTTGAGTCCCAGGCCCGGTCCTTGACTGAGGTCTGAGCGTTTTCTGATGCCACAGAGACGCTTTTAAACATAGATTTATTAAGATTCTGAAAGTTGTGATCGCCCCAGGCACATTGGCCAGGGAGTTTTTGGAAGGTCTTCAAGAGTGTGAGGGGGTTTGGGCTGTGAGGGGGCGATGCCGTTCCAATATGACTTCTCCTTGTCCCAGATGGAAACTTACAGGGATGCTGGCTCCCTAAGAACATATGGAAGACACCGTTCCTTTGCCAGTGACAAAGAGCTCCAGAGACCCCAAGCAGAGCTTGGACCAGGCTGTAGTCCCAGCTATGTGAGAAGCTGAGCAATTAGATCACAGCTGTCCAGTCTTTCCTTCTGATGGGGATGCCAACACATTTGCTCATTGTGAGGGAGCACTAAAGAGTGGTCTCCGTGGTCATAGCTCCCTTTTCAAACGGCTTCCATGTACTTAAGTGTACCCCTAGGATCCTACGTGTTGGCCGGTTTGCTACCAGACTGAGCAATGGCAGAAGAAAATGGACTTGAGACTTGGTGACCCTGGATCCCCAAATTTCCAAGGAAAAGAACAGAGCCCATTCTGACCCTGGCCTTGCGCTAAGGTGACTGTCCTAAGCTGGGGGCAGCTTGTTAAAAGGTGTGATTCCAATTTTCTGACTCTTGCCGGAGACCTGGAACTCCCCCCTGGGACCACGGCAGGCCCCCTCCACCGCCCAAACTGAGCAAGAGATGTTTCTCAGGACCGACTGTTGTTAATAACAGCTTGTTTGCTCCTCCTTGCACCAGCTCCAACAGGGTGGGGGAGGACAGATGTCCCATCGCGGGGCAGAGCCGGAGTGGAAGGCTGAGGCTCCACAGACACTCGCTTTCGAGATGGGAGTCTGTGCTGGAGCCAGGCCCGATGAGCCCTGGGAAAGAGAGACCGAGCGAGCCTTGCTTTGGATTAATCAGCCGCATCCCCAGCTGTGCCTGAGTTGGGGGCCTGGCACCCCCGCAGGCGGCGGCGGTGGCTGGGGGTGCTGGGGAGAGCAGACAGGAATGCCTAGGGAAGCTCTTCCCAGCCGGCCCTGGAACCCACCCCCCTCCACCCCCACCCCGCCCCCTCCAGCCCCATCCCGCTCACACTTCCCTCCAGGCTGCCCCCCTTCCCCTCTGCCGCCCCCGCCCTCTGCCGCCCCCGCCCTCCCCCGTCCCATTCCAGAGCACAGATAAAAGTGGAACCTGAGCAGCGAATGTTTGTGGTGTTGCGCCAATCGAGGGTCCCATCTCCAAGGTAACGGGCACACTTCACAGCCCTGTGAACAGATGGTCAGTGAGCAACAGGCAGCATATGTTCCCGTGAGCCCTGACGCAGGCACAGATGGAGGGCAGGCAGGAGGTGGGCCTGGGACATCCTGACATTTCCTTCTCTCCCTTCTCATTGGGGTGCATTGTCAGAGGGCCCTGACTGAAATTAGCGTTCTGGGGGGCTGCTGTGCGGCTACTGAGGCCGCCGCGGTGCGGCTTCAGTCTTGCTTAACGGGGGGTGCACGTCGGTAGCCACGGGGGCCACCCAGCCTCATGTAGCAGCTGTTGCCTCGCCCGTCTGCATTCTCAGCTTCCAGTTTATATGGCTGTTCACAGCAGAAACCGCACTTCGCCTTTGTGAACGGGATCAAAGGAGGAATAACGGTGTCCTGAGAGGCGGCGGGGAACTTAGAAGTTGGAAATGTGCTTTCAGACTTGCTGAGCTCTGGCTAGGGTGACACAGTGACCTCAGCTTCCTGTGGCTTGGATAGTCTCTGGGGTGGATCGACCTTCGCAAAGGCCGAATGAGATGTCGCATGTTGCTCTCCACCATCTTGAACGTGGGATTTATTCAAGGGGGTCTTGGTGAAGAGTCAGTAACACAGGCACTGCTACAGAGCTACCTTATACTGACTGTATCTGCTAATCTCACAAGGATACATCTCCAGCCACCAGCCAGCCAGCTCCAAAAAGGCCATGTGGACACTGGGCTGAGTCTATATGTATCCAGCAGGGTGGGTGAAGGGTTGGGCATGGGCTCAGGGGCCACCAGAGGCTGAATACTTTGTCCCTAGGCTCGTGACTGCAGTGTCTGCTGGTCCCTGGACCCCAAAGTGCTCAGTGGGCAGAGTCTCTATGACTTCATTCTGCCCTTGACCTATTGTAACATTGACTGGATTCATGAATTCCCTGCTCTTTTGAAACCCATACTTGTTTGACTTGTCCTCTGGTGACCCTGGAATATTAGTTAGGGTTACTATTGCTGTGACAAAACCCCATGACCAAAAGCAGCTTGTGGAGGAAGGGGTTTATTTGTCTTACATATCCCAAATCACAGTTCATTGAGGGAAACCAGGGCAGGACTTGAACCAGGTGGGTACCTGGAGGCAGGAGCTGAATCAGAAGCCAGAGGGGAATGCTGCCTACTGGCTTTTTCAGCTTGCTTTCTTATAGAACCCAGGACCACCAGCCCTGGGGGTGGCCCTGTCCACATCAATCACTAATTACAGGATTGCCTACAGGGATTCTCTCCCCGCTTGTGTCAATTGACATAAAAGCCTGGCCAGGATACATAGGCAATGTCCACGGTTTCCTGCTCACTGCAGGAATGTCTGTAGACTGCTGTTTGAGTAGGGCTCTAACTGATAACCTGCTAATGTGCCTTCAGGTTTCTGCTCCTCCACACGCAGTAGAAGGAGCCGGCACGAAGGAGCTCTCAGGGGGTAAACGGAGGGGACCTCGGTAGTTCTTTCCAAGCAGATCGCGTGAAAGGAGGGATCAGAGAGACAAAGTTAATTTGATCGCTTGGCGGTGTGTGTGCGGAGATAAGCATGGCAGGAACGAACTTTATGTGTCACTTGAGATAGCCCCCTATTGCCGGTATTGGGGATTGAATTCAGGGCTGAGAGTAAGTACTCTGCCACTGAGCCCTTATGCTTTCGCTAAGTTCCCCAGGCCGGTCTTGAACTCCTCCATGGCAGAAGACTTGCAATCCTACTGTTTCATCCTCCTGATTTGTGTGTGTGAGGGTGTGTGTGTGCTCTATGTGTGTTAATATTTTTGAGGCTTGTGGCCCAGGCTAGCCTTTAACTCACAGCAATTCTCCTGCCTCAGACTCTCAAGTTGGGGTTACAGGCATGAGCCATCACTCTTGGCTTTCTTCTCTTTTAATTTAGGTTTCATAGCTGAACATTGTCTCAGCACAGCTATTACTGCATTTCCTAGGTTTTGTTCCATGGCATTTTCATTGATCTCCTCTTCTAATCGTTCAGTACCATGGGTATTGCCACCTTTTTGTGAAATTTCCAGTTTTCCTTGTGTTGCCCATTTCTAGCTTCATTTCACTGTGGCTGGAGAAGACATTTTGCACATATTAGCTTTTGAATCTGTGAAGACTCATTTTATGCTGGAGAGATGGTTAAGAGCACTGCCCGCTTTTCCAGAGGACCTAGGTTCAATTCCCAGCAGCCATAAGGCTGTTCAAGACTGTATGTAACTCCAGTTTCAGAGGATCTGTGGGCACCAGGTATGCAAGTAATATACAAACATACATGCAGATAAAACAAAAAAAAATAAATCTTTACTCCCCCCAAAAGTACTCATTTTGCTGGACATTGTACTGCATACCTGTAATCCTATTAGGAGGTTGAGGAAGGAGGACTGAGTTTGACTAGCCTTTGACCTTAAAAATAAACAAAAATTCACATTCTGTATCCTCACAAAATGGTCTGTCTTTATCCTCACTTCTTCCAATGTTCTTATAGTGAGGCTTTGATTCCCTTATCATTTCCTCGAATGTATATTCTACAGCTAATCTATCTGGTTTCTGTAGGGATTACATGTATCATACCAAAGTTGCAATAATACAGTCTGAATCTGCCACAAATCACTTCCTCATATACCATATGGCAGGTAACAGAGTAGTATATTTGTCTTTCAAAACATATAGGAAAAGCAGAGTTGCAAATCAAAATTGTAATAAATTTAGCTTTTTTTTTTTTAAACTGCCCATGTAGTTACCTTTCCTGGAGTTCTATTGTGCAAATAAAGCCTGTCTGAGGGTCAGAGAATGGAGCTTGCCACTAACTAACCATAGAGGGAAGTGAGGTAGCTGGGCAGACACAGGATATAAGCAGGGGGAAGCAGGAACTCGTATTCTTGTCTGCTGAGACGCTGAGGAGGCAAGGTGTGCCATGGCTTGCTCCTTCTCTCTGATCTCTCATCACTTTCCTCTATATCTGACTCTGGGTTTTTATTACTTAGACCAATTAAGAACTCCATTTACGGTCTATATTTTTTCACTTGGTTTTGTTGCTGTCTGGTATCCTTTCATTTTAATTAGAGGGGCTTTCTTTTTTCATGTCTTCCTTTAAAAATTTTAAACTGCTTGTCATTTTTTATAACATGTTTTTTTCCTGTGTGTGTGCCGAGGTGAAGATCTGAAGACAACTCATCTTTGTGGGTGTAGGGATCTGACTTAGGACCTCAGGCTTTGTAACAGTGCCCTTCACCCGCTGGGCCGCCACGCTGGCCTCATTTTTGCATTTCCTACAAGGCTGGTATAATGGCGAGTGAATCCCTTCAGCTTATGCTTATCGGGAATACCTTAACCTCGTCCTTATTTTATGAAGATAGGTTTGCCTGATAAAGAACACTTGGTTGACAAGTTTTCTTTTGCATTCAATTTTTAAAAAGTTATTTACGTGCATGTGTACCATGTACATGAAATACCCATGGAGGCCAGAAGGCCATCAGATCTCCTTAGAACTGAAGTAGTATTGAGATGCCCCACATGGGTGTTGGCTGCTGAGCCGTCTCTCCAGTGTCTCTTCTGCATTTTGAATAATATATATGCGTCTTCTATTTTCCAAGGCTTCCAAAAAAAAACCCAGTGATAATCTTGGGAGTCCCTTGTTTATAATAAGTTATTTCTCACTTGCTATGGTCATGATTCTGTGTCGTCTGTCCTCATCTGTCTGCATCTTTCCAAATGCGTCCTGTTTTCTTGGATGCACACCTTCTTCTTTGGGGGAACTTGAAAACAATTTTCTGGGCTCCTTCTCTCTGCACAACATTTTTAAAGCATGGTGGCTGTGGTGGCGTGGATGAATCATCCCCGTAGTCTCGGACACTTGAACACTTGGCTCCTCATTTGTGGTGCTCTTTGGGAGGCTTAGCAGGTGTGACCTTACTGAACACAGGGTGTCACCCTGAGGCCTCGTTCCATTCCTAGGTTGCTCTGCTTGTGCTTGGTCCCAGCTCCCATGCCTCTACTCTGCCTGTGGGACCTTAAGCCTAGATAAACTGTTCTCCACATCTTCTTGGTCATGGTGCTTCACCACAGCACTAGAAAAATAGTTAACACAGGGTTCCATGGGTTCTTTAACTTGTTTCCTTTTATTCATTACTTTTCTAAGGCTTACTAACTTCCAAGTTTGCTCTTTGTCTACTCAGATCACCTCTGGGGAAATTTTAGTTTGTTATTACACTTTTTTTTGGTTCCTTTATACACACACACACACACACACACACACACACACATATTAAGACTCATTTTTGTTCATACATTTCTTAACAGATGTTCATGCCTTCCTTTATAGTTTTGGGTACCTTTAAGATTTAAAGTCTTGTGCAATGAGTGACTCTGTTGTTGTGATTTTTTTTCTGGGATAACTTGTTTATCTCTAGCTTTCGAATATACTACATTTTCCTGATTCTTTGTGTTTGTGACTTGTGGATGGAAACTTAAAATGATGAGTCTTATGGAAACAGTCTCAGGGCTTGTTTTTTGATGATTAAAGGGTATCTTGGTGCTGTGAGTCAAGCTGAACGAAAAGCCTGGAGTCGTCTCCGTCTTTCCCCACTATTTTGCTGGACTGCTAAATTTGCCTTTGCACTAGGTTGCTTTTGAAAGTCTTGATCATTAAGAGACTGGCTCCCTAAGTGTCAAAATTTTGTATTTATTTTTATTTTTTTGTGTGTGGGTGTTCTGCCTGTGTGTATGTCTATGAGCCACATGTGTTCTGTGAGACATGGTTGTGAGTCACCCATCCTGTGGGTGCTGGAAACAAACTCAGGTCACTGAAGAGCAGCCAGCACTCTTAACTGCTGAGATGTCTCTCCAACCCCTAATTAATCTTTACCCACAAGTGTTGTTCCTTAAGCTGCTGGAGCTGACACATGACAGCTAGCCTCTGTGCCCAGTTCTCAGGGAACAAAAACAGCAGTTGCTACACAGCACCCCATTCGGAGGGCAAGGCGTTCTGCTCATTGGGCTCTGGCAGCCTGAATCAGAAATACACACAGGGCTGTCACTGGCTAAGCAATTGAAATACGTGGAGAGTAACTACAATGCACCAATTAAGCTTACTTGGCGGCCAGCTTCAACATACATGCGAGTGTGACTCCTGATGCTTCCTGATTTATTGTCTGTGACATCACGTCCCTTCTATGAGTTTTAAATGTAGTACCTTTATTAGTATTTCTAAAATAAGTTTGCAAGTCATTTCCTCAATAAATATTTTGGGATGGTGAGTTAATTACTGTGGGCCTAATTCATAGATAGGGTCTGTGAACTGTCCACATGTGTTCAAAAAGGATAAAAACCAAAAGGCATTTACTGCTCAAATGTATGTCATTTTTATTGTGCTTGGCGTGCTAGTTTCTAAAGTAACTGTGCTACCTATCCTTATGTTTCACTTGCACTCTGGAACTGATTCCAGCATAAAGAGTGTAAGTGGCCTTCCTTTTTCCGCTCTGTGTTCTAGTTCATATCACATTTTACATACATTTTAGAATATATTTCTAAAAATATTGACCGACAATATTGTTTTCTGAGCAAGAAAACATGCCTTTACTTTCCACCTCACTCAGAAGTACTCATCACTTTCCATGTAACAGTCCAGAGTTGTCCTGGTGCCTTTACAGTTAAGTTGCATAGTAATGCCTGCCCGTAAGAGAAAGAAATCGCTTATTTCTTTGCCCAACTCTGTTTCACACAGTCCCTGCACTCCACGGGCTGAAGCGCTCATTCTATGAGAGCACACTCTTGGAAAGGATATATGGGTCGAATTTTTTGATTTCTGAAAATGTGTTGATTTTTCCTACTTTAGGGACTCTGACTCTGAGATTCCAGGCTCAATGTTATTTTCCTATAAAGAAAAAGAAAGAGATGGCATGCCTACCTAAAAAGATGACAGGAGGTTATAACTGAGGCCTTGGAACTCACAGGTCTGTTTGGGCAATAGAATAGGACCTTGTCTTGAAAGACAGAAAGAAAGAAAGAAAGAAAGAAAGAGAGAGAGAGAGAGAGAGAGAGAGAGAGAGAGAGAGAGAGAGAGAGAGAGAGAGAGAGAGAGAGAAAGGAAGGAAGAAAGTGAAGGAAGGGAGGGAGGAAGGAAGGTGAAGTATGAGTAAAAAAACCTACCATATTTTTATTTTAAATTGATATGTGGAAATTCTACCACAAGACTTGACTGGGAAACAGCATAAGCGATATTCTCACTGGCAAAGCTCTGCACTGGTGTTTTAAATGAGATACCTATCCCACCAACACAATGGCTTATTTAAGCTTGTGAATGACACATTTTATTGACAAGTCAGAATACTGAGTCTGTGAGGGAAAAGAGCCTTCATAGAAATATAGTTTCAGTCTAAGAGATCAGAAACTTTCTTCAAAGTTACACAAGTAAACAGCAAAGAAACAACTAGAGGCAGCAATGTTTCAAAGTGGCAAAAACTAGACGAGCAGGAAGGAGTATCAGAGGGAAATACTGGGGGACCGGAAAAGCCATTTCCAAATCTAGGCATTAAAGTCATAGCAGCTGTAAGACCTGCAGACACACTATGCATAAGTCCTTCAGGAGCAGAAGAAGCTGAACAAATGCAAATTGCTCAAATGTGGGCACTCTATACCTTTCTGGTAACAACTAAGAATTCCAAGGTGAGACCCAAGAGCTCTGCATTAACACACTTGGGGCTGGGTGATTGTCGGTGTGAAGGTGAAAATGAGAGTTTTTAGGGGCTTACTAAAGATTTAGAGACAGCAGCACTGGTAAGAGAGATCTCCCAGGGGTCAGGAGTGCTTGCATTGCCTAAGGGAACCAAGTGTCCCCAGAGATACGGCATGGCTGTGAGGACCCTGCACACGGTGACTCTCATTCCCCAGTGGAGACAGGTAATAACTTCAAAGGTTGAAGAGGGAGGACCTTACACCTAGGCCTAACCTAGCGTGCTTCTTTAAAACAGTCTGTTTTACTTGTTTATTTCATCTTTAAGGGTGCTTGGCCTGCATGCATGTCTGTGCGTCATGTGCCTGGTGACCACTGAGGCCAGGAGACCCGCTAGGCCCCCTGGAACTGGAGTCACAGGTAGCTGTGAGCTATCACGTGGGCGCTGGGAATCACACCTGGGTTCTCTGGAAGAATGGCCGCTGTTCTCAACTGCTGAGCCATTTCACCTCCAAGCAGAATCAACTTTCCCACAAGCAAGAACGACTTTATTGTTTTTCTTTTCCTATCCAAACACTTCTGAGGACCAAGAAAAGAAAAGAAATGGTTGGGCAATCAAATTGTTAGAATTTCTAATGAAAAAGTAATTTCTGACATTGCATGTGTGGCTATCAGGTACCACGCGTGACGGATGGGCTGAATGAGAATGACCCACATTAATATGTTGGAATGCTTGGTCTTCGGTTGGTGGAAAACATTTGGTGGGGCCACACTGGGGGAGGTGTGTCAATGGGAGTGGGTTTTGAATTTTCAAAATCCTGAGCCATTCCCATCTAGCAAGTCGTTAACCTGCCTGCCATGATGGTCACGGGCTCTTCCCTCTGGAACCTTGAGCCCCAAATTAAACGTATTGTGTTATAAGTTTCTTCAGTTATGGTGTCTTTTCACAGTAACGGAAATAACTAAGGCTCCATGATTTCAAAGAGTAATGACTTGGGGAAACATTTCCACAATTTAAAGATAAGAAAATGTGTGAAGGAATTGGAGTCCTGCTAAGATCAGGGAGCATACGTGATGCTACTGATGAGTGTTTTGGGGTCGTGGCATCAGGAGCAACCTCTGAAACCAAACCAATGGACACTTTTTTACTGTCCACGGGGGAGAAACCTCTGAAAAGTAATTCTTCCTTCACGGAAATGTGGTTCCAGTTGCCATCTCCTCACTGGCGAGACCGGGTGACATCACTCTGAAGGAGGGCAGGGTGCTGCACCCTCTTCCCACACTTCCTGGAAGAAGCAGACACATCTTGAGTTAAGTTGGTGGGCCCCAGTGGGGAAGCTGCCACTTGTGACGTATTAGTCACGTGGCCCTCAGCTGTAAAGACAGGAGCATCTACTGATTCGCTTTAAGATGCTGGCGAGCATTTTACCTGAGAGACATCTAGTATCTTCTCCACTGGTCGTGCTCATACTGTCTGCCTCCTGCACCGAACAGAAATTAAAAAAACAAAACAAAACAAAAAAACAAAGTAAGAAGTAAGAAGAGCTGTCTTCAGGCACTAACTCAAGGAAGTGGCGCAGTTCTAAGTATACACAAAGACAGAGTGCTGACTTGTACTGGAAGACAGAACATTTTTCAGTTGTGACCACCTGTCATTAAATTTCATTCTATAATTATTCCATTAGAGTGGAAGCAATTAATTAGGAGACAGTGCTATTAGGAGAAGGAAACTGTCAAAATTGTTTCTCTTGGTGCCAGTTCTAACCATCTGCAGGACATCTAGATGTTTATTGCTGCTAATGACTTTGGAAATGGAAATTCATCTGCAGATGGCTCTGAAAGGACTTCCTGCCAAGCACAGAAAAAGCCCCGTGTGGCTTTTCCAGGGCTGAGCACACAAGCCCCCCAACCCCACAGTGTAGCTGGCCACTTCCTGCCTCTGACAGACATGGGGTGTTGGGAAGGGACTTGGAGCAGAGCTAGCCTTGAAGGAAACTGGCAGTTCCCACAGCTTAAGAACGGCCATGTTTGGTTGGGCATGGTGGGACTCAGGACTCGGAGGCAGGTGGTTCTCTGTGAGTTCCAGGCAGGATAATGCCACATAGTGAGACTCTTAACAACAACAAAAACAGCAACAACAACACACTTTTCTGCAAGTCTTGCTCTTGGCTTTCTTTGGTACATGAAAGCAATGGCTTTAACAGGCCCAGCCTAATGACCCCTAAAGTGTGAGGGTGATGGCACCAACAGGTGTCCAGATTAATACAGCCTTCACCATCCTTGTCATCTCTGTTTCCACTCCTGTAGTCTCCTAGTGTGCAGGCCCCTCTCAGTCACCATGAGAAGGGACAAAGCGAAGAATCTCACCTAACTTTACAGCTCCTTAGTGGAATTTAACACGTTTTCCCTCTCCAGCTGGGCTGAATAGTAGCAAGGGAGAGGCCAAAACTTTAGTTCTGGTAGCCATTTGGTCACAGGGTGCTGGGATGGGCCCTAGACTTTGATGATACTACCTCTGGGGGTGTACCCCAACCCCATCTGCCAGGCTGCAGTCCCTGCAGTGACCCTGAGAACTCAGTTCCCACAGGACCACATTTATGCATTTAGGTCCAGACTCTGAAAATGTGCTAAAACCGAACACTGCCATTTTGAACTTAAAGCATTCCGAGTCTTTTCTAGCATGAAGAATTTTGTTTATTTTTTCTAATCTTGAAATACAACAACTTTCTACTTTATATGTTGAAGAGATACAAAAATGCTTAAGACAGGAAAAAACTCACTACAAAAATGTGCTGGCCCCAAATACAACCCTGGTAATTTCACAGGAAAAGTGGATTGCCTGATCTTTAAAACAACAAAAATTCCAACTAAGGACCAACTGTGTAAAAGCTGATGTTGTACACAATTCGGAAGAGCACTAACGCAGCTGCTGCAGCTGCTGGCGGCCTGTGAGCCTTTCTTCCACATGGGCAAGGTGCCAGAGAAGCACTGTCCTCGCTCACACACTGCCCCTAGCTGCTTCCAGAGTCACCTCTGGCCATTCAGCGTGGTATCAGCCTAGCACCAGGCCACTCAAATTGGCCTTTTGGTCTCAGGTGTCCCTAGAACCTTTTCCAGCCCATCCTTCACAATCAAGACTGTGATTATAATAACCCACCCCAATAAAGAAGAGCTGTCCTTCAAAGTTCCAAGCCTCAAACCAGGGTACAATGTCTACACAGTTTTTAGACTTTAACTAATATGACCAGTATCATGTTTCTGTTTTCAACTGACCATAACAACAGGGTGGTAAATGGGTGTCTCTGGTCTTAAAACTAGATAATACACATGCCACTTAAGACTCCCAAAGTGAGCTGGGCGGTGGTGGTTCACACCTTTAATCCCAGCACTCGGGAGGCAGAGAAAGGTGGATCTTTGTGAGTTCGAGGCCAACCAGGTCTACTGAGCAAGTTCCAGGACAGGACAGCCTCCAAAGCAATACAGAGAAACCCTGTCTGGGGGGGGGGAGACTGGGGGCTGGGAAGACTTCCAATGTGCCAAGTTCAATGTGGTCACATAGGTGGAAGATGGATGCCAACTCCTAGTCCAGCCTGGATGAGCAGCAAATCAGTTGGGTAAGGAGATTCACTCACTGGGCAGGATTAACTGTCCAGGGCCTTGTGTGCCCCCAGGGCTTACAGATCTGTAACAGGGGTGACAACTTCACATTGCCCTTTTCTGGGTCAGAAGAAGTGCTTATTGCTTATTGCCTTTTCTTTGTGTGTATAAACATAATTTCAGCATATGTATATTAGAAAGGAGATATCATAAGATTGGTGATTATGGGTGTACATATGGATTTGCACACTGGGCCCAACTTTATTCACTGAGCCCAACAAGAGTAAGACCTTTGTCCCCATCATTGCAGAATCATCCAGTGCCTGAAGAGCATGCATGCACAGTAAAATCAGGATACACACAGCTGCCCAGATTTTGTTCACCACATCTGTTTCGAGTGCCAGAGTTCCCAAAAGGGATATCACTGCTGGGCTGTGTGTGGCCCAGGATGCAGACGAAATGCCAGGAAGTAGTGGCATGTAGAATGGTGGGGTTACGAAGGCCCAGGCTTCCCAAGACAGGCATGGGCCTGGCTCTATGGCACCTCTGCAGGTGGCTCCTTACCTCCTTCCCTTCTCACTGAAGAAGTTACACTCACTCACCAATGATGAACCACAGAGTCATAGCATCACACAGCTGTAGGAAACAGGCTTGGGGATGTAGCTGCCTGACAGAGAACAAGGAGCCAGGATAGTCACCTGAGACAGTCATCAACACAGTCTGAGAGTGTGGAGATTTGACAACCCTGGAGGTGCTCGCCTGTTGCTGGTGAGGGTGCTAGTCTTCCCAGAGAACTACAACCTCTTATCACCCACATCTGTACAGTTGTCATCTGGCCTAGCATCATGGGAATGGGACAATGGCAAGTCAAAGAGGACAAAAGCAAGGTGTCACCTTCCTTGGCACGCCAGGTAAGACGGGCTGCTGCTGCTGGCAGGGAGAGGCAGGTTGAGGAAGTAGTGAATTTTGCAGAGGAAGAACTGTAAGTGGAGACCAGCTGCCTCAAGGAAGGACCGTTAGCTCTTCCCCCGGAGCAACAAATGCAAGAGCCAAAGACTCAGCAGCCTTAGCCTGGGTTTCAACCAGGAGCCTGGTGTCAGGATCCAGGCTGCTTAAACATTTTCAGGGTGGGACATGCAGGCAGCTATACCTAGACGCTATCTAACCCAAGTGACCAAAGCCATTACCAGTGTCACGGTGAGCTCTACAAAGAAGGCCTATAGGCTTTCATTATTTTGGGTGGTCTTTGGCCTTGAGAGACATCTATCTAGCCAGACCTCTGACCCTTCCTTGCCATTATTCTGGACAAACATCTCTCTGGGTCAGCTCAGAGTCATGGGCCAGCTGGTGGTGGGGCAGGGAGCTCTGGACACAGGCTGAGATGGAGAGCTCCAGGGGAACTTCAGCTGGGCCACCATAGGTCTCAGAAGGCAGTCAGTGGCAGGAATGGTGGAATACTCTGTATAAGTTCAGCTACTTCAAGGAAAGCCCAAAGCCAACCTAAGTCTACTTGATGGTGCTTCTCTTTCTCCAGGGAGGAGCCTTTCAAAGATGCCCATGCTTATTCTAAACTATACAGAAGCTTCAAAGTTTGCTCAGACCCACACTTGAGAAGATAAGCCTAGCCACTGTGCCCATGTGCTGTCTGCAGCATGGCCACTGTATATGTGTGCTGTCTGCAGCCTGGGCACTGAACATGCGTGCTGTCTGCAGCATGGGCACTGTATACGTGTGCTGTGTACAGCCTGAGGAGAGTCCTTCCTCTCAGCAGCATCACAGGAATGGTCTGAGCCTGCTGCACCCAGGACTGCTAAAAGTGCCACTGCACTGGTACTAAAGAGTTGCTGTGCCTTAGACAGTAATCTGAGCAACATGCAAATCCGCACACATCCAGTTTACAAAAGTAAAAATGACATTTGAGTATGTTTCTATAAGAGGACAAAACCACAAGTCTTAGGTAATTTCAACTCATGAAGTTTAGCTCTGAAACCTAAAGGAATTTGAATTCAAATACTGATGAGAGGTTCTCTATACAGTTACGTACAAATAATTGCATACCAAATTAAGCAGAGTGTGATTATCAATATACCCATATGACATAAGAAGCTGCATTTCTAACACTATAAATGTAAATCACATCGTGAAAGACAGCAGAGCACTCCTATTTGAGCCCTCTATTAGCAACCTTTAGAAAAGCCTTTGAGTAAATTATAAGAATTGGGTCTTCAAGAGATGAATGATTTGGTAGAAAATAAAGCAGCAAGAAGCAAGCATATCACCATAAAGCAAGATTATTATTATTTATCTATTCCGTTAAACAGATGATGAGGTACGCCAGCACGCTGATACGTCTTCTAATTGCAAATACACAGCACAGGAGACAGGCTTCGCACAAACACAGCATAAAGGAAAGCAGCACCTGTGAGTAGGTGAGGGCTGGCGTGGGAGCCTCTTACCTGGGCCCTGATTTCTCCATGTCTGCCCTTGCCCAGGATGGCCATATGTGGAGCCTGTCCTGTGGGAGCTGGAGCCCTGTCTCCCCAGCCTCCCTGTGGGAACATGGTCAACACATCAGCATACTGTCACTCTTTCTGCCTCACATTTAACAGTACAGTAAGTGATACCAGGCCAGTAAACCTTCCGTGTGCTCACACACAGCAGCAGAATGGGCGAGGACTGCAGAGGCCTCAGGAGAGGCACAGGCAGTCTGTACTGGAAGCCAAGGAGTAGCTTATGACCAGCACTAAGAATCATCTCACCACGTGTCTTTAAAATGGAGTCTTGCTGCTTACCTACCCAGAGGCAACAACTGCAAAAGCTACTTCCCCCAACAAGGAGGCCTACCTCCAGTCTCTTCAGGTAACAGCATATGGATGATTTCCCCTTGAGCATAGTCCTGGGATGTGGTGAGCTCCTTCATGCTTCCCACAAATGCATTAACACGTTCTTTTTATACTCTAACATATCTCTAATTCTCACTAATTACGTACGCTCTTGTACCTTTTAAGGTATCTTTATTTCGCATGCTCCACAGAAAGGGAATGAGCTCCCACCACAAGTGCCAACCACAGACTCTGGGGTGCGTCTGCTGGGCAGTGTGGCATTTGGCCGGGAACCCCCAGGTACAACACAGGTATGACAGGACCGTCAGAGGCCAAACTCCTCTTCTGTCTGGAGCCACTATAGACAGAAAGGACGAGGACCCGAGCACCACACCCACACTACTGGATTCACCACTAGTGAGGGAAAAAGACCAGAGCACAGCTTATGTGATGCCTGAGGCACTGCAGGGGCGCAGGCGCTTCCCCCTCCTCCCCGGGGCCACCTCTTGTCTGGGGCCCCGGACAATCCTGGGGCCAGCCGTCTCCTGACCCCATTTCCCTCCACTGCCAAGTAGCTGCTATCCTAGGAGTACATTCTGATAACACCACTTCAAAGCCTTCAGAAGTTCCTCAGTTTGTAATGGACACAGACATCAGCTCTTCTAAGTTTAGCATTAAGAATTCTATGCCCAAACCCTACTGGCCTTCCTTGTTTCCCTCCTGCTGCAATCCGCTCAGATCTAGACCATGCTTCCCCACTAGGCTTCCTTATGTGGCTCCCAGCAGTCAGCCTAGTGGGATGCCTGTTACTGACATCCTCGCCACAGAGCCCCTTGGTTGTCTAGGACGCCCCTCCCCCCCGCCCGTCCCAAACATGGACGGTGGCGGAGGAAGATTGGCCACTGTTTAACGTCATGAATGCTGTGTGGAAGGGTGAGAATCCTGAACTGTGAACAGGAAGGTAGCTCAAAAGTATATTATCTTCCAACGGTTGCCATTTTAGGTGATAGAACCATAAGTCTTTTATAGCTCCTGTTTAATATTTTCCTTTTGAGATTATAATTTAATTGTAAAATTTCTCCCCTCCCATCCCTTCCCTCCTAAACCTTCCCATTTGCTGTCTCTTACTCTCCTTCAAATTCATGACCACTTTTCTTTTTGCTGTTTCTTACTGCACACACACTGAATTTTCTAATGTACATTTGTTGTAAGAAAAGCTAAACTTCAACTTTTGTCAGGTAGACACACACTATCCATGAACTTTTAATTGGGGAAACAGATGGTGCATTAGAGAAAGAGTTCTTTACTCAACTCACAGAGGAGCCCTTCTAGAAATGTTTTCCTTTACGGGACCAGAATTTAAGCTGTGAGTAGAGCCCAATCATATTCACCTGTCATAATTTCATCGTTCTTCTATCAGTAAATTGCAGGAGAGCAGGTACGTCTACCCGGGGCCTCAGAACATTAAGTGACAGTAAGGGAAGCGCCCAGCCCTTGCCCACCTGTGTGGTGAGAGTGCCAACGCGTTCTGCCCACAATGCGTCGGCTCTCCCTGGAGCAGGCCTTGCAGACCACCGCCTTTACGTTGTGGAACTTGGTGAGCCATGATCTCTGCAAATACATCAGATGAAAATGCAGGCTGGATGCACACTCTGTGGAAGAGTAGGGCGTGAGGTGGCTGGGATGGGGGCAACAAGTGGCCTCTGTGCCCAGGGTACCAACCAGGGTAGCTGCACACTCTGCACCAAGTGGAGACAGCCACAGCTCCTCTGTGGCAGGGCCTCAAGAGGGTCTTAACTGACTGTTCCCCTCCTGAGTCCCCTGGAAACAGCAGCAAGTGCCTATGATGCCTGCTTCTAGACATCACAGACTAAACAGTCATGACGAAAAATCTACTCCTTGTGACAATCTGAGAACACTGAGTGGAGATGCTGGGGTCATCAAACAGCAGCAGACAGGGATATAAACATCAGCGCTGTTCTCATAGCTTCCTGAATTACCAGCCAATATTTCATCCTTGCTGATTCTTTTAAGAGGATTCGGGGTGCCCAAGGAGGAATCACGTACTCTGAGGCACACAGAAAACTGGCCGCTATGTCCCAGGGCCACAGCTCCTTCAGACTCTGCCAGAGCAGTGTCCAGATCTGGGAAAGGGCTTTCCTCTTGTCCTGATCCTCTAAGTTCTAAACACTCACAAACCCTGCAATACCCTGGAACTTTGGTGAGAAATGGTGACAGCAACACATTGCCAAATGTTTTCCCTTTGGTGTGAAAACTTGGGAGTGTTTTATCTAACAGATCAGCATGTTCTCTCACAATCACACCGCCTTCTCATCCCTGTGGGTAATAAAACATTCCAAATGAGCTTGGCGGGAAGCCTCATTTGGAAATCTTCCAGGAATCGTGAAGTAATTGTACTTAGGAAGCTGGGGCAGCAGTGTCCCCAGGACATGGGCAGCCTTCGGTAGAGGGAGAGTCTCCCCAGCTAGTCTGCTGTCTGGGGACTCTCTCTGCAGACACTGCAAGCCTTTCTCTCAGCTCATCCTCCCTACAGAAGCAGTTAACTACGAGGACAGCAACTAACGCTGCTAGACCAAGCCAACCTCACGTGTGGGTATCAGTTACAGAAATGTCAGCACAGTCCCAACAGCTGTGTGAGGCGACGAGGACGACTCTGGAGAACACGCTTGTCCTTTTAAAGCTTCATGACTGATGGGGTGGGCAGACTTTCCAGGCACACTAGGGTGACCCACTTCGAACTCACTCATGGTTCCAACAGACGGTAACCAGAACTCACGTTTTGTTCCAAAAGAACCTCCACGGCATATCCTTTTTCAGATTGCAGGTACTTCTGATGGAAAAGCTTGCCATCAAAGACATTCCAGGGCATGAATTCGCTTGTTGTCCAGGGGAAGCCACAAGCGCTGTTGACCAGTACCAACATGGTGAGGCCACGGACGAGGAGGGACCCCAGCTGCACGGCTCTGGAGCTAATGTAATCCAGCTGTGGGGACAGACAGATACACACAGGACGCCTGAGACAGAGCACTCAAAGCAGAGGCCTCAGCCCCACCGTGTTAGGTCTTGCCACACCCTGAACAGGAAGGACCCTGGGTTTCCTGAGCAAGTCTGACAGAGAGAGGCCTGACAAACAAGCCACATCTCTGAGAGAAGCATGATGGGATCCCAGCCCAGGCACACACACCCACTAGGGCAGCAGGCACTCTCTTGGGCTCTTTCCTTATGCAGATCTGGGACACAGCCACTGTGAGTGTGGTGGTTTGAATGACCACGGCTCCCACGGGCTCAGATGTTTGAATGGATGCTTGGACATCAGTTGGTGAAACTGTTTGGAAGGGATCAGGAGGTGTGGCCTTGTTGGAGGAGGTGTGTCACTGGGGGTGGGCTTTGAATAGCCTATACCATTCCCAGTTGTGCCTCCCTCCCTGCCTCCCTGCCTCCCTCCCTGCCTCCTGTGTCTGCCTCGGGCTTGTGGATTCTATGTGAGCTCTCAGCTACTGCTCTTCTGCCATACCTGTCTGCTGCGATGATCCCCACCATGACGGTCAAGGACTCTACTCACCCCCTGAAACCGTGAGCAAGCCCCCAATTAAATGCCTTCTTCTCTAAGTTGTTTTGGTCATGATGTCTTGTCCCAGCAATAGATAAGCAACTAAGACACTGCTCTAGGAAAATCTGGGCCAATACAAGGTGTGGCCACTAGGTAGAACTTACAAGGTAATTTATTGTCCGGTGGGTTCCCCTGAGAAACTTTCTCCAAAGGGAAAGGGAGAGATACTCCCTGTGTTTCTAAAAACCATACTTGAACTTATTGCAACTGAATGCCTTTTAAGAACAAAACGGCACATGATGTAACGCCAAAAGGCCGGTGCCTGCGTTTTTACCAATTAAGAGTATCTCGCCTCAGCTCTGGAGAGATGGTTTAGTGGCCAAGGGCTCTTCCAGAGGACCCACATGGCAACTGTCACTCTTCTGGCCTCAGCAGGTGGAATACGGAGGGGTACACACACGTGCGGGCCAAACGCTCACACACATACGACAAAAACAAAATCTCAAGAAGAAAGCGTGTCTCTTGCTGAGACACGCACTACTCCTTTTCTTTGCTAAGTGGGTGTTTATGTTCAGCCTCCTCCTGCACAATCCCACAAGAGGCCTCGTGTATTCAGCAGGCATCGACACTGCAGATGTCTAAGAAACCCCAGGGAAACTGGAGAACAAGGGAGCCAGCCACCTTCTGGAAATCTCACACTGACCAATGTTACCTTCAGCACTATTACATATCTAGCATAGTTAATAAAACTGAGAACAGAAAGAGGAAGTGACATGTTTTAGCCCTTTCTTAGGCAAGGCCTGACTATAATGAACTTGACAATTATTTCGAGAACTGCATACCACAAGCACGGTGGCACAGGGCCACAGTTCCAGAACTGAGGAGGCTGAGGCTGACTGTCACAAGTTCAAGACTACCTTGGTCTACACCGGGAGTTCCAGGCCAGCAGGGGATACAGTGTGAGACAGTTGTTTATTATGCACTTGGATCACTGCAGATTTAACTTTTACTAAACTGAAGGGGTTTAGCTGCATGAACTATTTTGTGAGGTGTGACTCTGAAAGTACCCATTCTTTAGAAAGAGACACTGGGAATCTTTTGTAGGGTCTGTAGATGCTCTTCATTAATATAAAATTTCTATGCCTGTTCTGCGGAGTCTACCACGAGCAGAACTGAATTTAATAAAGTATTTCTAGAGCCCGTTAACACAATCCTACACTTTTTTTTTCCTTTACTGTGTGAGTAAAGTAAACCGATTCCTGGAAGCTGCCCTCTGACCTCCACACTCACGAGCTTTTCTTTCACTTGTTTTATCAAGATTATAATTTTTTTGGAAGGAAGGGCTGCGTCTATGCAGCCCTGGCTGTCCTGGAATTTGCTACGTAGATCCTGCCTCTGCCTCCCTCCCAGGAGCTGGGATTGAAGGTATGAACCACCACACCCAGCAAGACTGCAAGTTTGGACCTACAGATCATACATATGTTTAATTTGTACCTAGGTAGTTCAATTTAGTTAAACAAATATGAATGGCATCGTTTTCATAAGCCAGTGTCCACACGTTCGCTGCTAATATATGGAAATGTAACTGAAATCGGCATGTGGGTCTTTCATTCTCACGATAGGAGTTTACTGTTTTGTTTTGTTTTTGTAATTCCCTTGAGACTTCTCTTTTAGAGGACTTCTGGATAAGATCGCAGAACAGAAGCCACATTGGACTGAGACGCTGATTACCCTTTGGGAATTAAAGGGAATATGAATATTTTATCACTCCATCTGCTACTTTTCCAAGTCCCGAAATAGATTCGATCAACACCTCAACAAGTCTCCTCTGCCACAGGACCCATGAATGGATTCGCTGCTGCCACTCAAACAGTCGACTCTCCCAAAGCAGGACCCACCGCCGCCCATAAGGAAACCGGGCTAAAAACTCCTGTCAGGGGATCTACAGAACAGCAGTGGTAGGAATTTCACATGAGGGATTCCCAGCGGCTGCTCCCAGACGCACCACTGACACCCCAAATGAGGAAAGACAAAACTGCCACGGGAGCTAAACACAGAGTCTCCCTGGTGCTTTGGACAGTGCACAGCCACCAGCAGCTCCCAGCCCTGTGGGAGGGCAGCAGCCTCACCTGGACTGCGTTTACCTCAGCTCTCCACAGTCACTAGAACAGTCAAGAAAATTCCACACACAAGGGGGCCGGAAGCCCATGGCAGGGGCAGAATGAGACCACTTAAAAGCAGCAGGGACCACAACCCACACCGAGACGGAGGGAAGAAACCCACGCTCAGGCTCACGCTCACATTTCCTGACATGTCTTCCCCACTCTCCTGCCCACTACAGCTATTTCTTATATGTTTAGTACAGGAGGGCACTGCAGTAGACCAACACTGTCCCCTACTGTTCACATCACACACTCTTACTCTCTCCCTTCCTCTTTCCCAACGCCTAGATACCTATTCTTCTCGGTGTTGCGTCTCCCGGAGCCCACAGCTGACTTGGTTTACAATCGCTGAGTATCCACTCCATTCACCCTTTGCCTTAGTGATTACCACTCCTCTGTGTGCCCCTCCCTCCCCTCTGCTTCCCACCTAACAACCCAATGCTTATTTCTGGTTTCGCCATGACTGTTTACCTCTTCTTCTCTTCTCTGCATTCACACCAGCCTCGTTAGCATTCACAGCACTGTTGGGGTCCATTTACTTTCTAGATTAACCACAAGATTAATCTGCTTTGTGCTTACCTGCAACTCTATTACTGGAGTGGTTTAAATACTGGACTTGCAGCTCACAGGGGCAGAGTGTAGACAGAGCCTAGTGCCAGGAACAACAGTCTAACAGATGACAACGTCGTAACTGTATTGCAACCTAGTCCCCTCCAAACATTGCAAACACGTCCACTTAAAGAAGTGAGGGAAGCTGAATTAAAAGAACACAACCAACAAATCTTAACCTATGCCCTAACCCCAGATGAGCGAATCCCAGAGCAAAGACACGAGTAACATGAGTTGGGTCAAGACAAAATTCAAGAATCAAGAAGAAAATTAAAACCTTTTTAGAATTGAATGAAAATGAAAACACAACATGCCCAAACCCATGGGACTCAATGAAGTTCCAAGAGGCAAGTTCATAAAACTGTCTATAAAAAAACAACCCCAAAAAACATGAGTGACCGCATATTAGTTACTCTACACACCTGAAAGTTCTGTAGCAAGAAGAAATGAAACCCCAAAAGAGCAGATGGGAAGAAATAATCAAAAATCAATGAGATGGAAACAAATCAACAACAAAAACAACAAGACACAGAGAATCAATGAAATGCAAAGATCAAATAGCAGAGCCTTTCTCAGCCCTCCCTGTAGTCCAGCCTGGCTGTGGTCACTTTCAGTTCCTTCAAGCAAAAACAACCACCCATTCTTTGGGCTCTTGGTGCCCCGCCCCCTCCATCCTCAAGCCGCTACAGGCTATCAGCTGTGAAGAAGGACATGCCTTCTGCTCAACCAACACTTGCCAGCCTTTTCTGAGACACTTTGTTCTCCCTAGGCTGTGGCGTGCTCCGCCCCATGTCTTCTGAGTTTGGTGGAGACAGAACCCGGTCTGTGTGCATAAGAAGGCACTATACGGGTTTTCAATGACACACACTACTAGCATCCTCTGAATCAACTGCTTCTAAGTTCCCTTCACATTCTCCCAGACACTGACTACCATCTGCTCCATTGCCTCTCTCTAAGCAGAGTTCACAATCAACAGGAAAACCAGTATCTGCTCCATTGCCTCTCTCTAAGGCAGAGTCCATAATCAATAGGAAAATCAGTTCTCTTTTGTTTATTGTTTGTTTTTCCTGATAGATTCTGCAAAGGACTCACAAGTAAGTTTAGTACAATATAAAGATCATAGACGATGAATTTACATAAAAGAGGGGCAGCTGAGGGGTCTCCTGGAGATCCACAGCTCTAAAAATGATTTTCCACCTGCTCTGCTCTTCTCCTCTGGGCCGTCTCACCCTGTGGTGGTTCCTTCCCCTTGCATGGCCTCCTTTCAGAAGTCAGGGCTCTCTCACTGGGCAATGCATTCCTGTCCTTCCTTCTCTGGGCTCTAGGGTGGGTGCTCCAAGGCTTAGGTATTCCTCAGGTGTCCAAGACACACAGCTCTGGTTTTATCTGTGTGTGACGTCCTTGTCCTTTCTCTGATGTGAACTTGCCTAGAGAAAGCTACTCCAGCATGAGGTTGGGACAGATGGAATTCTCTCCTAAGAGTCAAGTTTTCCAACCAGAAGGTGGAGCCAGCAGAAAGGGTGAAGTTAAAGAGAAGGAGGAGGAGGAGGAGGAGGAGGAGGAGGAGGAGGAGGAGGAAGGTAGAAACAGAGATGGGAGGGAGGAGCACCAAACCCATCAAGCTGCTCATTCTCCCGTCCGTCCACCCTCAGAGGCTCTGAACTCATCACTTGAGATGCTCCTAAGACTTAGCCAAAGTTCAGCTGGGAGGCAGGGACTCAAGGAGCTCCGGCATGACTGTCCCGTTCCTCTTGAACACCGATGTTCAAGCTGTGAAGTGGGACACCGGCAGGGGACGCTGGACTTGCAGACACACCAGGGCGACTGCCTGAGAGGACACCAGCCGTGTGGGTGCTGCAGGCAGCAGTGGCTGGATCTGTAACAGTTCTTGCTCAGCTGACAGAAAAGCGGGTTTGGTGACCTTAGGGTTAGTATCATCCTAGACCCGCAGTTCTTCCTGTCTTGCCTCAAAACTGTTAACATTTTCTTCTTGCGGACTTAGGTCACTACAGCTCCAACATTATGTCTACATTTAAAGAGAAAAGGACAGCATGGTTCTATACAGTCATTTAGAAAATGAAATCTCCTCCAAGTACCCTAATCTCCTACTGGCTGGACTGGGCCACAGAGCCTTACTGTTTCCCAGCGAGAGGCAGCATGAGAAGATGCTAGGAATGGTGGAAATCCTTTCACAGTCTCTCACACACACACACACACACACACACACACACACACGCACGCACGCACGCACGCACGTGTGCGGTGTAACAATCCCTTTGTACACTGAAGATTTGTCAATGTGATTGGTTTAATAAACAAGCTGACTGCCCAATAGCCAGGTTAAGGTTAGGCAGGAGAGCCAGACTAAGAAAATGCTGGGAGGAAGAAGGGAGAAGTCAGGAGTCACCATACAGATGCAGAGGGAGCAGGAGATGAATGTGCCATGCTAATAAAAGTACCACCATGTAGCAGAGTGTAAATAAGGAATATGAGGTAACTTAAAATGTGAGAGTTAGTTAGTAATAAGCCTGAGCCATTGGTCGAGCATTTCTGAGTAATACTAAGTCTCTGTGTCAATTATTTGGGAGCAGGCAGTCAGGACAGGAAAACTCTACCTACATAAGCACATATGTGCACACACATATACATGTGCTCACACATACATGCACAGAGAGAGAGAGAGAGAGAGAGAGAGAGAGAGAGAGAGAGAGAGAACACACGAAGGGTTGTGAATGGCCTAGAACCATCTGTATCTGTGTTGTCTATCCATGTACACATACATAGAAGAAAGTTTTGAATGGCCTGAATCTATCTACATTTCTGTGAGTACATGGGACATAACATGTAGCCATATTTTCATCTTTGTTTCCACATTCTGTGCAGTGTTAGAGAATTCTCATTGGAAAGAGAATGGATAAGACAGAGTCAAAAGTCCAGTGATACGGAATTTTCCAGGTGACAACTCAGCAAGGGCAACAGCTGATGGGTAGAATCTCTGCCACAGGAAAATTTTCTCCTAAGTTGAGAGACACTGAGTTTTCCAACCAGAAGGCAGAACCCAGAGAAAAGATTAAGTTAAAGAAAGTATGAGGGTGAAAACAAGAGAGAGGCGTAAGGGATTGGGTCTAGGGCCATCCCTAAAGGTCTAAGAGCTAACAACAACTTGTAAATGTGCTGTGCATAATGAAGTAAGCTTGTACCTCACTCCTGGAGCCTTCACAACTTAGTTATCAATGTACAGGAGGTCACAATGTGTGTGCTGCCCAGAAGTTCACAAAAAATTTAAAGATGATTAGAGTCTTGAAATCAAGAGACTGCTATTTTGGTTACAAAGATCCTAGCAAGAAAATAATTTCAAAATGACCTAGGAATGTGAGGGCAATGTAGCCATAGCATATGTTATCCCACTGATTACCAGGTTGATTCAACTGAGCTGTCTGGCTAGGCAGGTGTCTCCTTTCTCCCTCCTGAAGCTACACTCAGTCTTAGAGAACAACTCACCCAAATGTGTCCCCTGCTAGACCTTCCAAACAAAATGACCCAGGATTTGCACACGCCCTGCAGACACGCTCCTATATACCTCAAGTCACCTCTAAATTAATCACATCCAGTGTAACGGCAAATAGTCTCTAAATAGTTGTTATGCTGTGTTGTGGAATATTCCTTTACACTGTGTAGATATGCGTCACTGTAACTGGCCTATAGCTAGGCAGGATAAGGGTAGGCGGGAGAACCAGACTAAGAGGTTGCTGAGAAGAAGAAGGGGAGGACAGGCAGAGAGAAGGAAGACGAACGTTCTGTGGTGAAAGAAGGTGCCACCACGTGGCAGAGGGTAGGTAAGAAACACGGGTTAATTCAAGCTGTAAGAGCTAGATAGTAACAAGTCTAAGCTATCGACCGAGCATTTATAATTAGTAATATGTCTCTGTGTGGGTATTTGAGAGCTGGTATTGTTTGGGGAATAATGACAGGGGAAAAGTCTGTACATGTCCAATACAGATGCAGTTTCTAAAATATTACTTTCAATCTATGGTTAGTTGGGGAACTTATGACTACAGAGAGAAAGTATGTGTAGAAATATGTACACAGATCTTTATAGTATAGTCCAGTCTTGTATTTTAATAAATGTGTACACATTTGTACAGTTTGAAAACAATCCTGAGCTACCGTGTGCTCAACATCAGCAGCTGCAGGTGGTGGCCCTGAAGCCACTCTGCTGTACCTGGCCTCTGGGGCTCCACCTTTCTCATTGAGAACAGAGCTACAAAGGGAGCACAAAGGGCATGTGCCGGGTGAGGACACAGGAAGGGCGGACTGGCTCCACCCTGCCGTGCACACAGGGATACGGCAGCTGAGCTTGGGCCAGAGAAGGCACTGTTTCTCTGACGCCAAAGAGGCTGACAAAATGAGATGTGTGGGCCAGGACCTGGGGCGAGCTGATCCCTGAGTTGTCAATGGAGGACGACTGTCCATTTCCTTGTGGGGACACCCTCACCAAACATGTCTGCCTCGTGCTTCCTATCAAGTACCAACCACAACAAGGAAAAGGCTACAAAGAACGGTGAGCCTGTGATCACAGCGTGGTCATCTCCATGGCTGTGGTGAGCGACTATGACTATACCTGTAGGTTCATAAGCTGTGAGGCTGATTTTCCTTGGAGGCACAAGGCCTGAGCAATAAATGCGTGCAGGTCTTCCAGGGAAAGCGTGTCCACCTGCGGAGCACAGAAAAGGGCCAGCGTGAGCCTACTCAAAGTGAACAGCACTCTCTATAAACGTGCATCACACACACACACACACACACACACACACACACACACACACACACACACGGAGGGGGCCGCACACACACGGAGGGGGCCGCACACACGGGAAAACATACATGTGCACATATACATGCACAATGGATGAACAAACAACACGTGTAGCTGGAGAGAGCATCCACAACCCCAGGCTGCAAAGCTCTTAATGGTAACAGCAGCAGTCCTTTCTGCATAAAATGTCAAAAGCAGATGACTCAGAGGAGGCCTGTCTTAGTTAGCTCTACAGGGCATGACCAGAAGCAGCTTGAACAGGACGGTTGGGGGGAGGGCACATGCCACCACTCAAGTGATGGCATAGGCCACTGAGGTCTGGGAACGATGACCTGTCACCGCCCTCTTCCATGTTTATTCCAAAAGAGGCATCACCACCATATAAATGAAAGCAAAATCCTGCAAATGTAGGATTCGGGACAGAGCTGAGCACCAGTACAGACTTTAACATCTGTAAACCGCTATCTCTGCTTAGACTGGGGTTCACTAGAATTTAATTCTCCCTACAATTAGTTCTGCTTGGAGGCTGTTCTTAAAAGATCTGCCTGGGGGACAGCCTGACTCTTGTGTGTCTTTTCTCACATGTAACTAAGCCTGATTGTTAATTTGGTGGGGTTTAGAATTCGCTGTGAAAACAAGCCTCTGGCGTGCCTGTAAGGGAGTTTCTCAACTGGGTTAATTGAATGGGAAGAGCCATTAATGTGGGTGGAGATCCCAGGCTGAGTGAAACAGGGAAAGCGGGGTACCAGCATTTATCATTCTGCCGTGTAAAGATGGTCAGCTGCCCTGCACTCCTGCTGCCATGACTGTCAGGACAGACTCTCCCACCAAACTGGGAGCCAAAATCTTTACTCTTCTTTCCTCAGGTCGCTTTGGCCAGGAATTTTATTGTAGCATTAGCCAAAGTAACTAGTATAAATGCATTTCCAAGATTTCCTCAAATCAGACTTAAGTCTTGTTTAGTAGGTTGAACCAAATCAAACTAGTTTTCACTTGGTTTCCATATGATGAATGACAGGCAGTTTTACTCCATGCTGCACAGCAAAAGGGCTAATTTGGGTGAACAGGCTCAGCGACTGAGGGCATTTGCTGCTCTTGCAAAGGACCAGGGTCCTGTTCCCAGCATTCACATGGTGGCTCACAGCCACCCATATCTCCAGGGAACGCAATGCCCTCTTCTGACCTCCAGGGGCACCGGGCACACAGGCGGTACACATGCATGCACGGAATGGTGGAGCTAAACACTCATACACATAAAATGAAACAGGTATTTTTAAAAGCCTAGCCTGAGCTCAATTACATAAAACCAGGTATTTTATAATTTATCTTTCCAGGTTTACCACAGTATTCTGAGAGAACAGTCAAGTCTGTGAACAAATGCACACCATCACGGACTTGCTGATACACTAACTTTTTGTTGGGAAAAGTCCTGACTTAACATCTCTGTGAAGATCTTGAAGGATTGTGTTCTGTGGGAAGAGGACAGGGGAACTGACCCATGGAGACACTCACAGCACTCCAGGAAGGAGTGGGCAGAAGACGTGTATCAGCTCTGTGTACTCATTGTATGTAATAACTGTGAGCTCAGCATTTACCTGGACAAAGAGGTAGATTAGGAGACAGCACAGTGCCCTCAGTGGGCTCTCAAGTGCCTGCAGCTCTTCTCTCGAGGAGGAGAGATTGAAGCAGGCTAGCAACGAGTCCACACGCTGGGCCTGTGCTGCCGGATCTTGGCTCAGCCACAAAACTTCCAAACTAGGCTTTCCCCCTTGAAGAAAAGAAATTCATATAGCATGGTCAGAATAGACTTTTGGGAGCACAGTGAAGAATGATTCATCTCTCCCCTATCTGATTTACTTGGGGGCATCAAGGCTTAACAGAACCAGAGGGGAGAATGTGGGTATGGCTTCCTGCTGTCAATAGAACAAACCTACAGGACCAGCAATGCCCCCACGAACCCTTCCTCTCTAATAACTAGGTTTGTAGGGAAAGTGGGGCTTTCACTTACAGCTGTACACACTACAGCTAGGAATGTTTTTCAGAAGAGACAATCTTCCATGCGAGGATCTAGTAACAGGACGGCATGCCCTGAGGAAGTGTCCTCGTTCCACCCCTTCGATTGGCTCTAACCCCTCCAGATTGGTGGTTTTCAAACTTTTATGTACAAAAGAACCAGTTGCAAAGACTTTGTGATGTACTTTCTGACACGTCCAAACCCGATGATACGAGCGGTATGTGTGCCAGTGACTATGCAGTTGAACAAACAGCCTGAGATCGATGGGTACGGCCACCAAACAAATGAAAGGCAGTTTTTAGTGTTCCACCTCTATGTTCTGCAGGTGCACAGAGACAGTTGCTGCGGGGAAGGGGTCCTCACTCGTTGACTTGACAAGGACAAACTGCCGTGAATACGGGTGGCCACTCTACACAAATACAAAGGTGCTGGTCTCAGAACCATGGCGGCAGAGCCTTTCCTGGCAGCTGCGGCTCTCCGCTGGGCACTGACTGAAAGCCTATGCCAAAAGTCCAGAGCAGCTAGGGTGGAATGTCTCACGTGTTCACCAAGAAAACAAAGCAGGTAACCAAATGGCATCAGAAGCCAGCGACTCAAAGGAAGTTCCTTTTCTTCCGTTGTGTCAAACACTGTCATTCACTCTTCCCAGGAGTGAATTTCCCACCACCAGGAGCAAAACAACACAGCAAGTCTCTTGCAGTCCTGGAAAGGCGAGAGTCTTTTGTTCACCACAAGCATGTTTTGTTATTATTTTAGGAAGAGCATTTTTCTTTGAGAGAGAAAGAGAGAGAGAGACAGAGACAGAGAGAGAATGTGATTGTCACCTGAGAGACTGCTACTTAAGAGATCACACTCCGAGGTCACATCTGAGAATCTAAGAATCTGTTGGGAACACTCCCAATGTTTATGGTGGGCCGCTGAACTGAGAACTATTTTGTTTTAAATGGTTGAAAGGAGATTTAAAAAAAGAAAGCTGCTATTTCCTAGCACAAGCAAATATAAAGTCCCAGTGTTAATTCAAAGAGTGTCAGGCCTCACATTTACTATGAGCCATTTGAAACAAAAGGCTTGCTAACCCCTGATATAAAGGAAATAATGAATTTCTAACACTATAGTTATTTCAAATGTTAAAGTATTTAGATGAGATTTTTTTAACTATAAAAGTCTGGTGTTGCAATTTAAAAAAAATGTAAGAAAAGCAAAATAACCTACACTTTGCCAGGCAGGCATTGTATTATTTTAAGACACGGGGGTAGAATAGTATGAAGACCGTCACCCATCCCACCAGAGTCCCACAGTGAAGACTGAAGAGTTCACCTTGCTGTTCAAGACAGTAAAGATCATTTCTTCATAAAAATGGTATGTCTCGATACATAAAAGTTTAATAGTAAAAAAAAAAAAAACCTGGAGATTCGTGAAATGCATCCAGAATCATGGACCTGGAAGCAACGAAGGAGGGACCCCCTGACCAAACAAGTAGTGACGTTATTCACTCATGGCTTTCATTTGTTCAGGGCTCTGCTCCAGCAGACAGCTTCGGATATTGAGGTGAAGATTTTAAGCATCTGTCCTGGGGGCGCTCTGTGGGAGAGGGCTGAGCTTGCATCTACAGGGGCCTATGTTTGATCCTCAACTACCAAAGAAAATCAAAACAAGTCATTTTTTTTCATTTCTTGTCACATAAGTTTCCGATCACTCCTATGTAGCATGCAGAAGTCCCTGGGTTTAAGTACCAGCTCTGGAAAGGAAATGTGAAGACTTTACCACAAGATTACTGAAGGTCAAACGGAAGAACAAGAGGACCGAGGAAGGTTTTCATGAAGAAGGGGCAGGCACGTGTGTTCTGAGTGCTGTTGGAAGAATGCTTCTGGAATTGTGAGCAGGCAGCAATGAGCACATGTATGCCAAGATCCTCTTCCTTTCCTACCATTCAACCGAGTATCACGTGCAGCACAGCTGAGACAGGGGGAGCTAAATGGAAGGCTTTACCTTCTTTATTCTGTGAGCATCTTCTGAGGTGCTCTGTAAGCCTGTGGTAAGTCAGATGCCCTTATGTGGTCAAGAAACACTGTTTACTTAGGTGCTTGGGTGCTGAACAACACTTAACAGTTATTCAAGAGAACAAACCAAGCAAGTCAGTGTGTCTAGTCAGCTTCCCCGGGCTTCCGGGGTAAAGATTTACTTACAAAGACTCAAAAACAAAACACTGAGAAGGAATCACCTATTTTCATCTAAAGAGTGTTTAGTTCTGGAGACAGGCATAGCTATTCTAGACTCAACCCTCAGGATATAAGGCCATAACTGAGGTGGGGAGGGAGCTGGAGGGCATGGCAGCTCATGGAGGAGTACACGAACTCCCTGAGCCAGGGAGCGAGAAGCTAAATCCCTTCCCGTGCTACAAAAAGCCATCTTTCACAATGCGTTGCCGAGTGGAATACTGTCCAAGTGCATAAACACAGGGAACACCGGGGAATCTATCATTGAGCTCTCCGAATACAGCAGACCGGTGCCTTTGACCACTTGAGCTGCCATAACAAAATACCACACGCTGTGCAGATTATAGCAGCAAAGCTATTCCTCAAGACTCTGGAGGCTGGAGGAAGCCTTAGACAAGGTACTTTGTGTTCAGTGAGGGCCACCATTGCCCAGCTTTTATGGCTAACTAGTGTGGTTGTTGGGATTAAAGGTGTGTGCCACCACTACCTGGCCTGTCTGGCTGACTAGTGTGGCTAGCTTTGCACTCTGATCTTCAGGTAGGCTTTATTTGTTAGATCCTAAACAAAACATCCCCACAGCTCACTGGTCAGTAACCCTGGTCAAATCAATGAGTTCCAAGTTCTGTCTTTAAAAAAAACAGGATCAAAGTGGACTGACGCAGATACTCAGTGTTGACCTCGGCCTACACACCCCCAACAGGTACCCCCTCTCACCGCCCCCACACAGCCTATCAGTTACTAACCCATTGATCTCTTTCAGGGGATAGGAACTGAAACAAACACCAGGCAACACGTAATTCTGAGATGACACCCAAAGATAGATAGCTTAAGGCTTACTGTTATGGAACAGAATATTTGTTTAACTACTGAAAGGTGTTACATTTGCTTATGCTGCATTTGTTTAATTATGTAAAGGTGTGTTGCTTGTTTTTACTTGCCTGCCTAAGGTACTGGATTGGTCTAATAAAAAGCTGAACGACCAATAGGTAGGCAGAGGAGGGACAGGCAAGGCTGGTGGGCAGAGAGAAACAGGGAGCCAGCCAGTCAGCCAGGGGCTAGCCAGTCAGAGGCCAGCCAGCCCAGCCGGTAGCCAGTCAGCCGGACAAGGAGGAGGCAGGAAAGCAGGACAGACAGAATGAAAGAAAGGTAAAAAGCCCCGAGGTAAAATGTAGACAAACAGAAACAGGTTAAATTAACTTATAAGAGCCAGTGGGACAGGCCTAAGCTAAGGCCGAGCTTTCATAACTAATAAGAAGTCTCTGTGTCATTACTTGGGAGCTGGTTGGTGGCCCAAAGGAAATGCCACTATGCTGTACATACCTTGAACAGTCATCTTCAGAGGCCTAACGAGGTCTGGGTACTTCAGGGAGTTCCCAGGGTACACAAACCACTCCTTGACCACCGGGTCGGTGCTGGCTCCATCTGAGTAAAGACAACCGGTGAGTAGACGCGGAGGACCGCAAAGCCCTTGCGTGCCCATTTTCCTCATGGACATTTCCTTATACCCCCAGGATGAAAGTGATCATGTCACCAACAACAGAAACAGAAAAACCTGAGCCAACTGAAATTTGACAGTAATCACTCATCAAACAGACAGAAGAACTTTTGTTTTTGAAAGGTCTGGCGTAAGCTTTGAGAGTGACTTCACATGCTAAGTTCAAGGCCGGGAGTGGGCTGGTGGTTAAAAGCGCTCGTTTTTTACAGAGGACCTGGGTTCAGTTCCCAGCACTCACATGGCCACTCTCAGATACCCATAACTCCATTTTCAGGGTACCCAACACCCTCTTCTGACCGCCACAGACATTGGGCATACATACGGTGCAAAGATACACATATAAACAAGACACTCTGATACATTTAAACAAAAATTTTAAGACCAAAAAGGACTGTCCAAGCACAGCAGCTCTTACTAGACATTTTCACAACAGCAGAAAAGCAGAGAGGGAACCAAAGTGGGAACAGACATTCACACCAAGGATCCACTCTGAAATGGCTTCTTACAAGGCTACCTGTACCTAATCGAGTCATCTCAGTTCAGGGACTGATCTTCATTGGTGACACCTACCCTCCGCCCTCTCTCCCAGCAATGCATTTACGCTTTGAAAAACCTTTTCTGTTTAACCAGTACTTGTTTTTCTTAGGACTATCTACATCTGTAGTTCTGTTTATGTTTCTGGCTTCTTGCCTAAAAACCCTTGCATGGACCGCTTTTACACATCTATAAAGTGCTGTTTGGCCTCTTCTCATAGGCAGGGAGAAGAGAGACTGACTTCAGCTGCCTGGGATGAAGCTGGCATTGAGCAGGAGCAAAGAGAAACCCTCTCTCTCTCTCAAAACAAAGGAAAAAAGAAACTGCCATACTCATCATCTACTCCAAATAGAACATTGACTTTTCAACGTGATACTTGTATCCTACCTTTAAACTATGTCAGGGTTTATTCTTGAAGAAAAAACAACAATGCTGTTACCTGGAAATAATGGTGTTCAAACAAATGACATAGTCACCCTTTTGTGAGTTATGAAAATCCTGGTGCTTAAGATCCTCTATATTTAACTGCTCTGGTCATGCATGGTCCTCAACTACTCTTTGCTATGTTCACAATATAAAACACTTTAGGAAAAACATAAACACATTATAAAAATGCTAAAGGACATCTGTTTATCTTTTTTAAAATATTAGATTTTATACAATTGTTCTCTAAAAATCTTATTTTGAGGAGTATATAAATAGTAAACCCCAAAACACTATATGACTACAGCAGAACAGAGTTCTCAGTTTTTCAAAAATGCAAATGCCTTTAAGACATAAAAATACAACATTTCATAGTGATAGTGTGAGTCTCATTGATGACTCTGATCAATTGTGCTAATTAGTAAGGTATTAATCTTCAGCAGCACTCTCAGGTACAGATTATACAGACAAACAAAACCTGTTGCCTGCTTGTCCAGGGAGAATGCACTCTGCTGCATTTATCGGAGACCAGCTGGCCCTTCTTACCTTTCCAGTCCCCAAGCAGAAGTGAGTACACTCGCTGCCGGATGGGGCGGTAGATGAAGGCCTGGCTGGGCAGAGCTTGGTCCAGCTCATCCTCCAGGGTGTTGCTGCACTCGATCTCTCCACTGGTCATAATGTTGTACACTAGGTAGCTCTCAGAGTGGACGTGGTGCATCCTGGCAACCTTTCGAGGATTCAAACACAACAAACACATTTCTCCTTGAAAACAAACAAACTTATGGGCATCGGACAGAAGCAGTAAACACCACTTATCGGTGTATCTATGACACTACAATGAGGAACTGCCATTCAATGACATCAAGTGGTATTTATGTTTTCTTTCTTTTGGACTAACAAGTTCAAGACTTTATTTGTATTACCCTTCTCCTGTGGCCTCCAATCTACCAATCTTACACTGATTGTGTAGTATCTTCTTATCACGTCTTCTCGAGGTCTCCCAATAAACACGCTCACTGTTTTCCATTAGGGTTGTTACAAAGGGCTCCTAAATTAGCCCCAGCATGGCTTTCCCCCTTACCAGCTCCTCATTCCTATGACCACCATGTTGTCTTCTCAGAAACAGATGAATCTGCTTCCCTGTGTTAAGACTCCAAATGGCTACCCCAAAGTTTGCCATGACATTCTTGGTCCCAATGGTCTTAAATCTCCTTTATCTCTTTGCATACCATTTTTCTCTCAAAGAAACTGCTATCTATACTCATCTCGGGGGACATCCCTGTCTCTCAGCGGCAGGCTCACTCCTACCTTGTGCTCTGGAAGCAGGAACCCCACCTCTTTCCTACCACAACTTCCTAGCCTCCCACTTCCTCACCTCAATCAAGACCTACCTTCTCTACAAACCCACCCCCAATTTCCAACCGGAGCTAACACCCTTTGTTCATGGGACTCAACTCTTACTTCTCATAGCAAACATCTCGGTGTTAAAGCTGTGTTGCAGTCATTTGTTTGTTCTTTTTTCTTATGCTTCTTTAATAAGGAACAAAAGCCACGTTCCAGCATATGTGTCTGTCCTCTGCACATTACATGGCGGGTCATAAGATGCGATTTAAACTCTATTTTCTCATTAAATACGCAGTTTAGACCAAAAGGTTTATAATGATCTACATGCAGGGTTCCCCCACCCCATAAAGAACACATTTCTTCATTGCAGGAGTAAAGTCTATGCTATGTCTAAAATGTTATTCAAAATTTTAGATCCAAACTGTTTATCAAAAGGCATTCAAAATGTTTTGTTAGAATGACTTGGGCTATCAAATTTTTGGATCTAATTTATATGCACCCAAGTAGAACTAGTTATGTGGATTCACTGTTGAGATTTGAGTCTTAATCACCCTATTCATTGGTTTATTTATAACACGAGTTTTATTTAAAAAGCCACACATCACTGTGGTTTAAATGAGCAGGTACACAGAGTGTGCTTAATGAGGCTGACTGCTCACTGTATCAGTGAACACCAAGCATTTACTTAGGTCTGTCCAACTACCTGAGCTTTTTACCAGGCACTGGGCATAATGCCTACCTACTTCACTGATAGATTTCTTTAGACCAAGGCAATCCTACTGCCAGGTTTTAGTTTGTTTGTGATTGTAATGTAACTAAAATGTTTCTCTCTTCCCTTCCCTCTCTCCAAACCCTCCCATATATCCTCCTACTCTTCTTCAATTACAATGCCTCTTTTTTCATTAACTGCTATTGCATGCATACATGTATTTGTATATACACATACATTCCCAAGTATAACCTTATCTGTATGTTTTCAGGGAGACTAGACTGTGGGGCACTGGACAACCAATCGGTATGCCCCTCCCTTGAAAATGAGAAGCCCTTCCAATGCAAACTCCAACACAGACGTTCAACTTAGGGATTTCATGGTGTTTTTTATGGCAAATTTAATGGGAGATGTCATTCTGTAAATCTGTCTTTCTTATTGGTTGTTGGCTAATAGGGAAGCAAGATAGGAGTCAAGGAGGACTCTGGGAAAGAGAGGCATAGTCAGACACCATGTAGACCGCCAGAGTAAGATGTCCGGACCCTTTTCTCCGATAAGAGAAATACTTAGATTAGCAATTATGGGTTAAATACTTAAGTCAGAGATAGCCAGTAAGAAACCAAGCAAACAGCCAACAGCTTTATAATTAATATAGTGTCCTGTGTGTTATTTGGGGGTTCAGACAGCATGGCAGGGCCCAGGCAACTGGCAAGGAAGACCACACTCTACACAAATTTACTTCTAATTAATCTTCAATTCTCTCTTTCACTTCTGAGTTTTTTGTTTATTTGTTTCTGTTTTTGAGACAGGGTCTCTCTACATAGCCCTGGCTGTGCTGGAATTTACTATGTAGACCAGGCTGGTCTTGAACTTACAGAGGTCCTAGGATTAATGGCATGTGCCACCATCCCCAGCCTTTAATTCAAAGGAGTTTGTATTTTTATAAATTTGCCTATAAAATAATGATGAATTCTGTATACTTACTCCTCCAATAAATTGATAATTTTGGCAACTGTGTATACCTTGAGGTATAATATTCCCTCCTGAAGGTATCATGTTTCCAGTTAAGTTACGTACTTGTGATTCTTAAGTCAGTCATGTTAATACCACCTTAAGTGTTGCTTTTGCCCTGCCCTTTATTTATTGTAGCTTAACCAGTACCCTGAAAACTACATAATGCACCGTTCAGTCTAATTTCTAGACTGCTGTTAGAGGAGAAGTATGCGTATGTGGTTGTGGTCACTAGGGAAAAAGACAGAAGAAAGATAGAAAAAGACAGAAGTGGGTACTGCACAAACTGAAAACTCATTTAATAGATAATAACAAGACCCAGAAAGACTGGCTGTGAAAGGGTGTGGTGACACATGACTTTAATCCTAGCACCTGGGAGGCAGAGGCAGGTGGATTTCTGTGAGTTCCTAGCCAGCCTGGTTGACACGGTTAGTTCCAAGACCGCCAGGGCTACATAGTGAGACTCTGTCTCAAAAGTAAGACAGAATTCCTAGATCTGTAGCTTGAAGGATGGTAACACAATGTAGTACTCGAAGTTTGTGGTAAAATCACGGTTGGTTCTCAGCTTGTGACCTTTGGGCATCCCTGTGGATGGCCACCTTATTATCACCCCAAGGTACAGGACTGGGGATGTAGCTCAAGCGTTAGCACATGCTTAGCAAGAGTGAGGCAAGGTGGCAGAGCTGGGGACAACTAGAAAAGTATTTCACAGAGCTGTTGGAAGAGTCACCCGAGAAAAGATAAACTCTGTGCCTAGCATGGGCCTTGTATAAATACATACTGAACAGTGACTCTCCGCCAATGTGAACTACAAGGCCTACAGAACGTTGACTCAGAATCAGCCCGGACCCCCTGGCATTTAACTTTTATAGTGTTAGAGATTATCTATCTTTTCCAAGTTTCTCTCTCCTCAAGCCCTAGATAGCTTACCAGTATGCCTCAGTTAGTATGACGCTAATTTAATTACATCTGTAGGGTTCCCACAACCCCACAGTTGACCTACTTAAAAGAAAACGCCGTCCTCCTGAAGCCTGCTCTTTATGCCTTAACACGCAGCATTCTCTCCTTAGTATTCCGACAGCTCTTTCTCGGTTTATTTATGAGACGATATCAAATGTACTTACAATATTCTATCTATGGTGACATCTTCCTAACCAGACTCAAGAGGCTCCTGGTCTGGATCTTCCTGAGGTCCCCTTCAGATAATCAATAAACTCTCGTGAGCAAATCCACTAATTAGTAGGTCTACTTTCACACACGACACTGTAGGTGGGGGGTGGGGGAAAATCCTTCCACTTTACCTTTAAGATTTCGGAGTCTGAGACCATGGTTACTTGCTTTATTTCAGGTTCTATATCCATGGTGTCTTCCTGTTTAACTTCAGGGTGCATACACACGAGTGCTTCCAGATTAGGTTGAGCCTCTGCTTCTGAGGGTAAGTTTTGCCTGACCTCTGGGTATGCATACATGGGAACTTCTTGCTTGGGTTCAGGGTCCGTGCACATGGGAACTTCTTGCTTGGGTTCAGAGTCCGTGCACATGGGAACTTCTTGCTTGGGTTCAGGGTCCATGCACATGGGAACTTCTTGCATGGACTCAGGATCAGTACACACGGGGACTTCTTGCTTGGACTCAGGATCTATACACATAGGAACTTCTTGCTTAGATTCAGGGTTTAAACTTGCCTCTTGCTTGTCTGTTATTATGACTTTGGGTTTCTGAACTAACCAAGGGGATATCTGCCCTGGCAAAAGATACGAGGTCACTCCTTTGTAAAAAAGAGCTTTGTGTGGTCCCAAGGGTAACAGCTCTTCTATCTTTTTCTCACCCTGATGCAAGTGAAGAACTTTGGAGATGTAGTCTGAGACAGCTAAGATAATATTTCCTTTTTTGCCAGCATTCTCTTTCACGGAGGTATAGGAGGACAGGCACTTGTACCGAAAGCTTTCAAACATGCCCTCTGGGGTGATGTCATTGCCAAGAAGACAGGCTAGTAGAGGAAGGTCTGCCACATGGAGGCCTAGGGTCTCACAGAGCTTCTCTCGACAGAGCATAATGGTTTCAAGGGTCTCCAGGCAGAGATCACCGATTGACAAGTAGGGACAAGTGTCATAAATTAAGTAATCGGTGTCTTCCCCAAGGATCCCAAGACAGTTGTGCTGGAGACCATAAGAGGCCACCTCAAAGTCTGCCTCCTGTAATGAACAGAAAGTTTCTTGACCCAAAGTTTTTAGAGCAAATCGTGTAAATATGGCCAGCCCAGAGGGGATGAAGAACATGCTTCTGCCTGGCTGATCTCGCTTTGACTTGATATAGTGGAAAATCTTGGATATCTCCCTGTTGTTCTTAAGTCTTCGTTTTACCCACTCGTCTCTCTTACCCGGCTCCACCATGCCGTCAAAGAAGAATATCAACTTGATGCCTGCAGACGTGAAGGCGGCTACAAAGTCTCTCAATGCAGAAAAGTATTCTCGCCACTGGCCACCGCAGACCCAAGATTCTGGCGTGTACCAGTATCGGAGACAGCACATAGCATCCACCACAATGGTAGGAGTGCATCCTGGGTACTTGGTTCGGTGGTGCTCTGCCAGCTCCTGGATATTGACTACTGTACAGATGTGTGGGCAGGTACTTCCCACAAAACCCTGTAAGCCTCTCACCCCCATAGTTGATTCTACGTATCTGCAAAAAGAAAAACTGAATTGAATCCATAATTAGCAGCAATGGAGTTATTTCTAAGCACGTGACATTCATCAAAGCAGACACACTTGTGTCACCGCCCTGACGACGTGCTGAGTTTTCAGTGGAAATACAGACAACACTTTTATTAAGTGCACATTAATTTCTAGAGCAGGACTCTACAAAAGACAATAGTAAGAAAAAAATATCTTTTTTGTTGTTGTTGTTTAACATGGCATCAAACCACTAAGTCCTTTGATAAAATATTAACAACAGATCCTTAATATAGAAAAAGCAACACAAAATAATGCCTCTTGAAGACCTAGGGCAAAGGGACATCTCATCTTATAGTGCACTCACCAGCCAGGCAGAGCTGGGCACACAGACACACACACACACACACACACACACACACACACACACACACACACACAAATACTAACCTGTAAAACAAATGGGCCAATGTGTGGTAAAAGCTACAAGTTTCGTTATATTTACGAAGAAACTGTAAAAACTCTAGGCTAAAAAAAAAAAAGGAACTTTCACAGGACTATCATTTTAAGAGTTTACTGGTTACTGATAGATGTTGGCTCCTGGTAGAATCTTTGAAGTTGTCGTTGGTAAGTTAGACATCAAAAGTTGGGTGCACACAAATAGTATACATTCTATGCTAAAGTTTTATGTTAAACCCACTATTGTAATATCTGCATCTACACACACACACACACACACACACACACACACACACTTATGTAAAGGATTTATCATCAAACTGTAATGACAGTATTTGAGGTACAAAGCCTGGTGACATGACTACCTTAACGTCAGTCAAGGTCAGGAAATGGATAGGGGTGGGGGTTGGGGGGAATGGGTGAGAGGCTGCTTGAAGAACGTGGTCGTGGATAACAACAAGTCCCTGAGATGGGAAGGTCTTAGAGCACATGTAGAAAAGGCCTAAACCAAAAGGATGATCCCCCACTCAACACAGCTGAGCCCCAGCCCCTTCGCCTCGCCATCATCTCACGTCCCGCATCTCCCCTACCGCGGGGGTTTGCAGGTACCAGACCCTCTTTCTCCAGCCCCTCCCCGATCCTGACTCTACCTCGCTGGTCCTCAGCGTCCTGCCGCTGGGCTCAGGAAAGAGCCTCCACCCCGCTCCACCTGCAGGAGGGCGGCTGCCTGACCCCTCCTCCCGGGACGGCACCAGCCTGGTGCAGGAGCTGCCAGGACGCTGAGCTGTCAGGGCGAAGGGCGTGGTCACGGAGGATCGCCGACTCGACGCTGGGAGGAGCTCCGGGTTCGGGAGGCTCCAAGGCCGAGGCCCGAGGGCCGATCCCCGAGCACGGCCTACCCAGAGGAGCAGCGCTGCAGTAGCTGCAGACACGTCAACCAGATAACAGACCCGCAGTCTCCCGGCATGCTCACTTCCGCTTCCGTAATATGTGTACTTCCGCCCGCTGATGTGCCTTGCTAGACAAGGTGAAGCTTTGCAGTTTACATAACAGGAGAAGAGCGATGGAAGGGGTGGAGTGCGCAGTCGCGCTAGGACGGCCTGCGAGGTGGGTGGTGCTCAGGCGGTGGGGGAGAGGGAAGCCTCAACACGTTACCTAGCAACCGGGCACTCGCCTAGGAGGCCCGCCCACCCCTGGGTAGATGGGTTTGTCCCAGAGACGGAATTATCTTCAGGATCCAGTGGCGGCTGGCACTAACATCCCTTGACCAGCTCCGGCAGTGTGTGCCCAGAGGCCGCGGAGAATACTGGCTGGAAACCCTCGTCACCCCATAGACCACAACGTGTGTCCCTGCCAAGTACAGGAGGCTGTGAAGACACCAGCCTGGTCCTGAATCTTCCTGGGAATACCAGTACCGAAGGGTTGCGCAGCTTGGACACCCGAGCGCCAAGGGCTGAGGGTCCACATACAGAGTGGTCACAGGCAAAGGATTGGGTAGAGTGGCCAAGCCTTGCGGTGTGGGCCACATTCGGGCTGTCTTGGGTAGGATGTTGGATGGACATTACCAACAGGCAAAAATGTAGCTCCGTTTGTGTCCGTAGCCTCCAGCCCGGGGTGCTGAAAACGAGCTTTGGCTTTCATAGCTGTTGAGTCAACACATCCAGCTGCTTGTGTTAGCCTTTAGCCTAACAGCTCACGGATGCTTTCTCAGCAGCCAGAGGTTGCAGGTATTTTTTTTTCTTCCCATTCTCAGCGTTCTGTCGTGTTTTACCTTGTGCTGTTTTTGCTCTTCTCTATAGCATACTTTCCCCAACACTTGGGCAGCCCCTTCACAGCCTCACCTCTACAAGAGCCCTCTTATCTTCTGCTGGGTTCTGTACCTTGAGCTAGCATCTTGGGACTCATAAGTTCACGCAACTATCTCAGCTTAAACTACCCTTGATACAAGACTGCAAATGGGCATTTAAAACCACTCGGAGTAAACTTTATTGGTGGCCCAGGGCCAGCTTTTGGTAGAAGACATTGTCTACTGTCCATGAGGTCTGAAGTAACCGAGTAGAGTCATCTCAAGGAGTCACGGCTAATGCAAGAGTTTCCGAAGGCAATACTTAACAGTTGGGGCAGTGGTTAATTGCAGTGGTTTCCCTGACTGAATCAAAGTCTCTTTGGGGGCATCCACAGCTGACGTGAAGTTGTCTCTGGACATCAGTGGCTATTGCAGAGTTTGGAGCAATAGTTGCAGTTCCCTTGACGACAGCCTGAGGAACCTCCAGGGGCGGCTGCTTGGTTTATAGTTCCTGCTTGATTAGCAACTTGAAGGTCTCCAGAAATTGTGAGACCCAAGTTGCAATTACCACTACCCTCATAGTCCTCCAATCCTTCAGGCTTGACAGCAATATCATTTACAGCCTTAGCAGACTTGGAAATAGTGGAGACAGTGCAGCAACTCCCAAGTCAGCGTAAGTCTCTGCCAGGCATTGGATAGTTTCTCAGTATCTTAGTTACTTTTCTGTTGCTTCGATAAAACACCACCATGTGACATACTTCCACAAACAAGGCCGTGTGTTACGAAAGGTTCTTTGAAACGGCTGGTCCTGCCTCCCTTCAGCCCCAAATGAACACCTGCATGCTATATTAGTTATAAAACTGTTGGCCGGTGCCTTGGGCTTCTTATTGACTAGCTCTGTCTTAATTATTAACCAATTTCTATCAATCTTATGTATTGCTGTGAGGCTGTGGCTTACCCGGCAAATGCCCCAACATGTTGTTACTCTGGGTGGCCCGCCCACTCTGTCTACCTTTCCCAGAATTCTCCTTATCTCATAGACCCACCTCATTGGCCAAACAGTGTTTTATTCACTAGCCAATAGAAGAAACATATACACAGAAGGACAACCCCCCACCAGCCATGCCTTCCAAACCTACCCAAACTGTCACCAACTGAGGACCAGGTACGTAATATCTGAGCCTATGGGGGACATTCTCATTCAGAACACTGTACTAAGTTTTTTCTCTCAGGCAACTGCTGCTACGGCCTGATGGCACTTATCTGTCCAGAAACCAAACTTTTGGTTGGATTTTTTTGTCTACTTGACACAAGCTAGAGTTATGGGAAAGGAAGACCTCAGCTGAGAAAATACTTCCATCGGATTGCCTACAGGCAGCCCTGTAGGATATTTTCTTGACCAATAATTCCACACGGGAGGACCCAGCCTTCTGGGGGGCAGTGCCCACCCCTGTGCAGAGTGTCCTGGGTTGTATAATATAGCAATCTGAACAAGCCACAGAAAGCAAGCCAGTAGGTAGCATTCCTTCGTGACTTCTGATTCAGTTCCTGCCTCCAGATGACTGCCTTGGCCTCCCTCAGTGGACTATAACCCAGGATATCGACACCAAATCAGCCCTTTCCTCTCCAGATTGCTTTTGGTCATGGTATTATATCATAGTAATAGAAACACTTGGTACAAGGTTCATGGGAGATTGCTGTAACAGACCCGACCATGTTTGGGGAAATGATCGTGGAAGGACTTTGGAACTTTGGACTAGAAAGGCCATTGAGTGTTCTGTGCTTACTGAGCTGTTGTGGGAGTTTGGAAGATAATGCTGAGAACAATGCAGGTGACACAAGCCTGGCTTTTGAGGTTCAGAGGGAAGCTTGAGAGTTTCTTAAAGGCACTATCAGGGCTCTTCCATGTTTTGAGTTAAGAATCTAGGAACTACAGAATTGGCTCAGTGGTTAAGAGTACCTGTTGCTATTGAAGGGGACCTAAGTTTGAGTCCTAATACCCACAGGGCAGTTCACAAAACATCTATCATTCCAGTCCCAAGGGATCTCTGATGCTCCCCTCTGACTTTCTAGGGCACTAGACAAGCACATACATTCATAAACACTCATTCACATAAAGTAAAATAAATAATAAAGAGAATCAGTGGTTCTGGCCAGCAGAAACTGAAGAATCAGGCATGTTTAATGAGAGACAAGAACCATCAAAATGAAACTTGCTTTGCTGGGACAAGAACAAACCAGTATCATTGAGGCAATGTCTTCTGGGAAGTGTTTCATCAGTGCTAGCACACAGAAGCTGTGGTCCAGCCATGGCCAAGTGTATACTTCATACTGGCAGCCATGGAGAGCAGCTGAGGCTTGGCGCTGTGAGAGTCCAGGAGAGGACATAGGTGAAGTCCAGCTCCAGCAAAGACCCCAGCAGTTTGGAGATGTCAGTCCCATAGATACGTCCATCAAGGACAACAGCAGCTGTGGAATGCAGTCAGCCTGAGCCTGTGAAATGTACCATGTGGGCATAGCTCAAGCCCTTTAGAACCCAGAAGATCGTGAGTCTCAGACATCTGACACTCCTGGACTTCGGTTTTTTACTTTGATTTGAATATAACTGTGCCCTGGTTTTCCCCTCTTGGAGTAAGAAAATATTTAACTTGTTTTGATTTTTATAGGAGCCCACAGTCGAGAGACTTTGGACTTTTAAAGAGGCATTGTGTTTTTTTTTTTAAATAGAACTTGGACTTTTAAAGTGTTGAAAAATTTAAAGCCGTGGGACTTTTTTTAAAGTTATGTTTTAAATTGTGATACTGATATTAACATGAGATCTTGGAAATAAAACAAAAGAAGGGCAGGGTTGTGGTTTAATAGAGATGTATTTGTGTGTTTGTGTGTTGGGGTGGTAAGAAATCAATTATTCTGTTTTCTTGCTTTTGTCTTTGTTTTTTGTCAACTTGACACAAGCTAGAGTTATCTGGGAAGAAAAACCTCAATTAGGAAACTCTTTCCATCAGATAACAAGTCTGTAGGGCATTTTCTTGCTTAACGACTCATGTAGAAGAGTGCAGTTCTCTGCAGTGCCATTCTGGGTAGGGAGTCCTGATATGTATAATAAAACAGGAAGAGTGCCAATGGAAAACAAGCCAATTTCTCCATGACTACTGATTGAATTCCTGCTATAGTTCCTGCTTTTGGTTCCTGCCCTGCATTTCCTTGGTGATGGAGTGTATAACCTAAGAGTTATGAGACAAAATAAATCCTTCCCTCTCCAAGTTGCTTTCAGTCATGTGTTTTATCACAGCAAATAGAGACCTTAACACACCACTTGGCAGAGGAAAACATCAAAGGGAACCTCTAACAGAGATTATTCATGCAGTTAACACTTTTCTTCAGTGAACATTTCCTTAAACGGTTACCCTCCATCCTGCAATAAGTTTAAGGATTGAGTGTTGATATGTCCACATGGGGCCATGTACACTTAGGGCGTCCTCAGACTTATCCTTGTATCAAGAGGCCATATCGCATGCTCCTAGTTCCTGATTACAACACAATTTCCTTCATTTCTGTAGTTTCCATCCCATGTTCTCCGCAGTCAGAACACCTGCTCAGACACTTGTAAGACAGAATGGCCTCGACATCAATATAATTTTTTAATGTAAGCTCCTGACAAATCCAATTATTAATACACCAAGTTGATTAAGTTATCATTAATAAGATAAGATGAAATTTATCTCTTCATCCCAGTGGGGACTTTCTGGTTCCTAGTGAACAAATGAAACTTCATTCAAAGAAGTAAAGTAGGGAAAATATTTTTTTTTGAGACAGGGTTTCTCTGTAGCTTTGGAGGCTGTCCTGGAACTCACTTTGTAGACCAGGCTGGCCTCGAACTCACAGAGATCCGCCTGCCTCTGCCTCCCGAGTGCTGGGATTAAAGGCGTGCGCCACCAACGCCCGGCTAGGGAAAACATTTTATGATTTCCTTCAGGATCTCTGGTAGGATACTTGATGGAGCACTAAGTTGAAGTTACACCATGGATATATTAAAGGCTTTGGAAAGACACCTTTCTGATAATCACGGCTGCCGCTTCTTGTTGGGTTTTGTCATCTAAGTAAAAAACCAACCAACAGTGCTCAGAAAACTGCTGGTTGAGAATAGCATAGTTGGGTCCCACCAAAAATATGGGACATAAGGCTTCTTCTAGTCTTAAGGAGTTCATTATGGGTGAGGACCCAAAAGAACGCGCCGGACACTTGAGCACCAGCGGAACAGTAAGAGTTAAGATGTTCGCGTTCCAAACAGTTCAGACGTCAAGTCTACGATGCTATTTTGAAGTGTGGGGTACTTTGGGAAGTGAGCGGAACCCGATAGTAGAGCCCTCATTCCACCCAAAGTGTCTTTCTGTCCTATTTCTACAACGCAGGAAAAAGGAGAAGGCAATCTACCTAAGACAGGCATTTTACCAGGGCCCGGATGCCCCGGCATGTTGGTCTCAGGTGCCAGAGCACAGAGTCTGTGTGAAAAGCCTGCGTGCTCTCTCTGAGGTACAGAGTAGCCCGGGGACCGGATAGCGACGGTAAAGGGCAGAATGACAGGGTGGGAAGGTGGTCGGGAGAGGAGAGGATTAGGAAAGAGAGGACTGATTATCAAAAGGTGTTATTCTAAGAGAGAGCTGACGGTAAAAAACAAAAAACAAAAAACAAAAAAACTTGGACGTTACAACACTGCTACCAAGGAGACAAAAATTCTCAAAGAAGGGGTCTCATGACCAGAGGCAAGAGGGATGAGGGTGGACTGTGGGAATAAGCTGACCAAAGCCCCAGTGCAATTGCCAATCTGATTGTCTTCGTGTACGCACAGAACTTTCCAAAGCATAATTCCTTAAAACTATACAACCAAGGAAGAAAAAAAAACTAATAAAAATAAAGATATTAGGAAAAATAAGAAATGAAAGTGTAGAGTGAAGTCTTTTCCCTGCTAGCTGCTTTGGTTTTTCCCCTGCCAGTCGCCTGGGCTCTGCCGCGTTGTAGTCCCCAAATAACACACAAGACGCTGTATTAATTATGAAGCTGTTGGCCTTGCTTGTTTCTTACTGGCTAGCTCTCACTTAAGTATTTACCCCATAATTGTTAATCTAAGTATTTCTCTTACCGGAGAAAAGTTCCGGACATCTTACTTCTCTGGCGGGCTACATTGTGACTCCCTGTGTTTTTCCTACCCAGAGTCCTCCTGGACTCCTAGTCCCACCTATCTTGCTTCCCTATTGGCCAACAGTGCTTTATTGACATATACACAGGACTTCCCCCATCATGAAAGGAAGAGAAAAATGTTAAGGAAAACTATAATCTGCCGTTACAGAAGGCATTGCATTCTTGGAAAGGACATAATGGGATACATAGAATAAGTGGGAATCTTAAAACCTAAAATGATAAATTCATGACTGATGAATAAATTACTATATAAATTAACCAATGAGAGTTATAGACTGTAGCTTTTTGTTTGTTTGTTTTTTACTCTTTTTGACTCCTTTCGGCTCCTTGCTGTTTGGGGGCCTGCCACTCAGCTCCCAAATAAATCACACATGGAGGCTTATTATTTCTTATAAATTCCCAGCCTTAGCTTGGTTTGTTTCTAGCCAGCTTTTCTTAAATTATCCTGTTTATCTTTTGCCTCTCGGCTTTTATCTTTGTCTATTTTATAATCCTTCCTTCCTTCCCTTTTCCTTTTCCTTTTCCTCCTCCTCCTCCTCCTCCTCCTCCTCCTCCTCCTCCTCCTCCTCCTCCTTCTTTTTCTTCTTCCTCCATTGTTGGTTCTGTAGCTGGGTGGCTGGCCCCTGATGGCTTTCTTCTCTCTCTCCTCCATGTCTTCCAGTCTTTTCTATCCATTTATCCTCTCTGCCTGCCAGCCCTACCTGCCATTGTTCCTGCCTTGCTATTGGACAATCAGCTCTTTATTAGACCAATCAGGTGGGGTTTTTTTGTTTTGTTTTTGTTTTTATGAGACAGGGTTTCTCTGTATTGTTTTGGAGGCTGTCGGTCCAGCCCGGCCTCGAACTCACAGAGATCCACCTGCCTCTGCCTCCTGAGTGCTGGGATTAAAGGCGTGCGCCACCACCGCCCAGCCAATCAGGTGTTTTATACAGGCTTCACAGAACTAAACAATTGTAACAGAATGCAACACATCTTTGCATCATTAAAACAGATGTTCCATAGCGTAAATAAGTACAACACATCTTAAAATAATATTTCACAACAAATGACATCTCTAAGATGGTGGAAGACAAAGAGACTGAGAAAACAAAATACAAGACAATTAGATTAAAACAAGTGTTCTTACATCCAAATAACAGAAAAAGAGGTTTCTTTTAATGAAGAGAAGAAAATCACCAAAGAAATCATTCAAGAAAACGTCTCATATCTAGAATACATGTTTCCATGTTGGAAATGCCAGTCAGTGCTAAAAAAGCAAACCTCAAAAGATCTACATCAAGATATATCCTCAGAAAAGTTCAAAACACCAGAAATACATAATTTTGAGTTGCTGGGCATGGTAGTACATGCATTTAATCCTAGAACATGGAGGCAGAGACAGGTGAATCTTTGTGAGTTTAAGTCAGTCTGGTCTACACAGTGAGAACTCTGTCTAAAAAAACAAATTAAGTCTCTGGAAGAAGGAACAAAAAGAAAAGTCAGACTGACATGGAGACGGTTAGGGATTCAATTCTCAGCACCCACATGGCAGCTCACAACTGTCTCTAACCCCAGTTCCAGGGGACCTCTCTCTCTCTCTCTCTCTCTCTCTCTCTCTCTCTCTCTCTCTCTCTCTCTCTCTCTTTCTCTCTCTCTGCCTCTCTGTCTCTCTCTGTCCCTGTCTGTTTGTCTCTCTCTCACACACACATCAAATACCAATGCACATATAAATCTTTAAAAATTACAAAGGCAGGGGAGGAGGGGAGGGAGAGGGAGCTGGGATTGACATGTGAAGCAAGCTTGTTTCTAATTTAAATTAAAAAAAATTACAAAGAATACAAGAACCAAAGGATGGGGAGGAGTTCTGTGGAATGCTGTCACCTGGACATGATGTTACCACGGCAATCATGAATTCAAAATAGCTGTGTTTACCTACACAAGATCAAGCAAGTCAAAATTCTGGCATATGGGGTAGACAGGACTGAGCAGCTGCCGGCCATGGGTAGTTGCTAGGGAAGGGAGAATCATTCCTTCTTGAGGATGCGGCCACTGGTAGGTTTTCTGAGCCTCATAACCCTTATCAGCTGCCCTCCAATGTCTCCTCCAAGACACCCCTCCCAACTTCATGTTTTGTTTTTCTGCCTTTGCTTTAATAACCCATTGAATCCAGTTAGCACTGCCCAAATGTGCTTGGATGTGGAATCGTTCACTCGAGCACAGTAAACCTACCAGGGGTCACGTCCTCAAAACAGGACAATCATTATAGCAAACGAGGACGTTCTTCTGCAAAGACAGCGTGAAAACATTGTTGAGTGTGGCAACCACATGGGCCCAAAGTTTCACTTGTTACAGTTCAACTGAAAATGGGAAAAAGAAAACCATAGTCATGCAAGCATTGTGCACATTGCTACTTGATGTTTCACAGTTGGCAAGGGGCATGCCACCTAGAAAGAATATGTACCTCCTTTTCTCGTGGTCCCTGCTGTACAAGAAACTTCCCAGGACATGGGAGCTCACCAGGGCAGATGGGAGCCTTGGGTTGAGATGAGTTGAGCCATCAAATCACTCACACGCGGACCACCTCCTCCCGACTAATGGAATAAAGCGAAGTCTCTTCATGTATTAAATATGGAACTGGGGTTTTCTGTTCTTGCATCAAAAGTATCTGTTTCAGCTTCCACCTGTGAAGGCAAAATTCCAACAGAACTTTTTCTTCCACTTTAAGCAACCACAAAACTTGACAGAATTTGAAATTGCCGTATTCAGACATCAAGAAAAGAATGAGACTAATGACTGCTCCAATAGCTGCCTAGATCCACAGGGGAAATTAACAAACAAAAGGTTGGTTCTCTGTGATATGAGGAGAGGAGACACAGGCCCCAATGACCTCTACTAACAATGTCAGATCACATTACCATAGGTCTCACACGAGGTAAAGAGATTAAAGAATATTTGATCAACTTTAAGATTTATTTATTTTTGTGTGTGCATATTTTGCTTGCATGTATGCAAATACGTGTGCATGACTGATACCTGCAGAGACCAGAAGAGGGAGTCAGGTTCTTTGAAACTAGAGTTAAGGGTC